ACAAAGTAAGTGTAAATTGTTCGATTCGGGTCATGTATCGGACTTTAAAAAAAAATCACGTATCACGTATCGAAAATGGCGAACCATGGCTATGATAAAAAAGTTCAATTTGAAAAAAAATGCATTAAAAACGTTTTTATATATGATAAAAGAACATTATCATTACCAATGTGACATGACATAATTAGTTTATATCAATAAATTTCGTACCAATTTCACCCACTTAGAAACGTAGTAATTTTTTTATTTATTTTAAATATTATACATAAAAGACTCCAATGATATCACCTCAATCGAGCTGCACCTAAAGCTAATGCAAATACCCTCAACCCAAGCTTTAAAAATTCCTCTCCTTGCTTAGAATTAGATTGGGTTCAAGTTGGGGTTCACACACACCCACCCAAATTGCAATACTACAATGACTTCTATCCAATGACAGCGTCACAGCCACAAACTTGTATACAAGTTAAAAGTCCAAAATACCCATTTCACCATCATTTTGCTTTTGAATACAATATGGCAAATATGACTCTTTGACATAATATATATACATATAGATATATGTAGAGAGAGAGAGAGAGTGGGAGAATATATGCTTTTTGTAATGTGACCATGTTACGACATAGGACCTTCCCCATACAGTAATCATCCAACCTAAACACCCTTTTGCGAAACTTATTTTCCAAATCTGGTAACTTCAACCACCCACCACTACCACCACCTTGATTACGACTCCCTCCACCGGCTCTACCCGGTTTCGGTTTCTACAACCCCAACCGCATCACCAACGCTATCTTTTGATCTCCAACTTCCTCCAATCTTCTCCTGCCACGTAGCACCATCCACCAACCTTTTTATATAAATGCTGCTGATATTATCACTCCCATCCAACGGCTCATCTTGCTTTAAATTACATGGACTTAGACAATAAACAAATATATTTGTTGATAGCTTGTGAGAGAAATAAATAACTAAGCATTTGATGTATATAATTTTAGGATAAATTACACTCATATCTTGTAAGGTTAGGTCATATTTTAACTAAATGAAGATTTTAGTTTTAAATTTTACTTATATTTGAATTAATAGTTTAGCATTTCACTTACTCCCCAAATGTCAATTTTTGGTTGGATCACAGTACTTTTGAAGTGTTAAATGACTATATTATCATTTGACCATGTGTTGACTATTTTTGTGACCAAACTACCCCCAACATACAAAGCAATATCCACGTCAGCCAAATACTTACACACAAGCCATATTCTCTCTCCTTCAATCTCTCTCTGCAGACCTATCCAGTGTTACCAATCACCTTTTGTCACCATCAACGTTATGATCGGCACCATTTTCTTCACCTTTAGCCTAGCAAACCAGAGACAACAACCACAAACCCAAGAAGACCCACATCAACAACAACAACCCAGACTCCCTAGCTCTCATCCTAACCAGCGTCACCTACAGACCCAACCCATCAACCAAACTCACCACTTACAGACCCAAACCATCAACCAAACTTCTTCATCCTTATCGGCGTTACTTGCAGACCTAACCCATCAACCAAATTCCGGCGGCAAGCTCTCATCAACCAAACTCCGGCCACAACACCTGTCCATCACCAGATCCAAAGAAGCCAACCCATTAACCAAATTCTTCATCGTTACCGGCGTCACCTACGAACCCAACCCATCAACCAAACTTCGGCCATAACACCTGTCCCGCCACCATGCAGATCCTCAACGCCGTCGACTTCGTCCCCAACCTCACCCTCCGCCGTCTCATCCACCTCTGATCTGATCAGCTGCCGGAATCTGACTTCTCTTCCCTCCAAACTACCTCCTCCAATCTCAATGCAAGAAGTAGTTCAATCAATCAGAAAAATCAACAACCATGCCGATGATTACTTGATTTCTCTCCACAAAATCGTTGACTTCGCTAAGTCCTCCGATGGCTCAAAAGGGCGGCTCACCGGGCAGTAGCCCGTCAGCTTTTTGTCTATAGCCGGTAAGTTCATTATTGCCGGAAAATTAGCCCAAACACGGAAAATTCGCCCAAACTCACTGGCGTCTTCCAAGTTCATTATCATCGCCGGTGGTTTCTTTAGAGCTCTATGTTGCCGCCGCCGCTTCCCTGCCGCCATTCGAATAGTGAGGACATAACATGATAATTTAGAGATAACTCAAATAAGGATGAAATGAAATCAAATGGCTATCAAAATGACTGGCTATCAGCAGTACTGTCCTTTGAATCTCACAAAAATAGATTCCATTGTATGTTTTGTATAATTCGTTGATTGAATTTTACCAAAATTCCAATCCAAAATGTGGGTAGGTGAAATCGTTAACGAAGAATCTGAAGAGGATTGCCTGCAGGGAGAGGAGAGATAAGGTGCTGATGTTTGCGTTTGAACGGTTAGGATTGCTAGGGACCATAAATGATGTGGTGGTCTCGAGATTACGTGTACAAACAATATATATATATACACGCACACTGAGGGTCCTTTTGTCATTTAAGATTATATATATTTTATATTAAAAAATTTAGAATAAAAGGGTCAATTTGCAGGCAAAAAGTAAATTGGGGGTGTAAATGAAAGTTAAAACCAAAATCTTCATCTAGCTAAAATATGACCTAACTTCAGAGGGTGTGAGTGTAATTTATCTATAATTTTATTATATTATTTTGTTTCTATCAAGATTGGTCGTATGGGTTAATACATAACGTATTCTTCAGTTCGTAATTTTTTTTTAAGAATTCAATAAAGAATAATGATAGGGAGACCGATGAATTAATCCTGAATAAGTATTGAATCTGACGTGTTTTTGTCCACCTCATCTATTTAAACAGTTTTTTAAAATAATTGTTTAACACGTGATAAAAATGGCTAATCACCTCAAATTTGATACTAATTCGGTGATTCCTTTTCGGTTCCTTTACTCTTCAATAAAATTATATGAATCGATCGATTTATACCAATATTTATCCGAATCTGCTATACCGTTATCGATATCAAAATTAATACAGTACGAATCATAATTTTTATATATTAAATAATACTATTACTCCTAGTATTTTGTAAGGAATCTTTATAAATGTTTTAATATCATAAAATAATAAGAACACGTTAAAGCATCTATAAATGGGCCATGATTTTTTAATTTATTTTATATATATAGTAAGATAAGAAAGTGATGTACATGGAAAATATCTACTTCCACTATCAACAAGTATAGAAAAATAATACTAAAAGATATATATATATATATATATATATATATATATATCACATGACAGTGATTAATCTATTCTATTAATCAACTTAGCTTATAATATAAAACCTAGGTAAGCTAACAAATCATAGTTGTCCAATTAAATTAGATGCAAATCCTCTCGCTGCTGCAATAGGCTGTTTGAAGCACTATTTCATGAATCACTTCCCATCCCAGCATCTCCCTATCTAATTAGGATATGTTAGTGGGAGACCCTAAGAGTAACATAAGTACCTCCCCCGTTTTATAAACTAATCTTTCCTCTAATTACTAACACTTTATCTCCATGAAACTCTAATTCTTTCAATATTTTCTTTGGAATTTTTTTTTTTCTTACCATCCAAATTAATCAAATGCAAGTTAAAATTTCACCTCTTGAAAAATTATTACTTGATACCAGCAAATTAATCTAATAAGTTAAAAATTAAATAAAATTATTACTGCATGGACCCACCAGATTATTTATTTACCGTGATCGTGCGTGTATTTAATACATTAACAAAACTGAACTTATCCTACCATGGACCCACCAGATTATTACAAAATTTACAACCAACCTGACTATTAAAGATTAAAAAAATGTACAATATTATATATATATATATAAACTACTATATATATACATGGGAAGCAAAGTACAATTAGAGCTGCCTTTTTTGGTGGGTATATTGTCGGCAAGTGCGTGTACGAGGTTTGGCCTAGGGAAACGTGGACGCTTCATCTCCATTCGTGGAAAGTCTCTTATCATATCTCGTCCTGTCGTTTAGTCAAACTTTCCATTTTTATATTTTTATATTTACTATTTTTTTATACATATTATTTTTTTATTCCATTATTTTATACTATTGTTTCTCTCTCTTCAACGACAATAATTGCCTGGCTTGCAACTACTACGAGAGAACCTTGGTGTATATTTACCAAAATACCCACCAATCCTGGCTTTAATGATGTACCACACCAATTTGTGTTGCCGTCCAGAGACGGATCAAAATGTGGGCGATACCAGATTGTCAAAAGTAGTTAAAGGACACTTGTCATTTGATTAATCGAACTTGTCACAAATCCTGTTGACTTTGACCGTCGATTTTAAGGAGAGCTGAAGGCTCTTTAATTAATTAATTTACAAAAGGTGCTGCACAAGCACATTACACGTGAAAACAGTAACAGTGTGGGTTGTCGTATAAAACTATAATAATTTAACATTAATGTTACAGTCGATTAGAAAAGGAAAATAGATGATAACATTAAATAAAAACAGAATGTGATAATATTTCATGTTTGCAAAGGATAATGCATGCAATAATAATAATAATAAAACATGAATTCTTTTGTTATTAAAAAATAAAAAAGTAGACACAAACTATCCTCATTTTCTTTTAAATCTTCCCAATTTGAGAAAAAGAAAAAGAAAGATGCTTAAGGAGTTACTCTCCTTCCCTTTCCCTCCTACTCCTCTCCTCCTTTCCCTCCTATTCCTCTCTCCTCCTTTCCTCTTTTTCCCTCAACTTCTTGATACTGCATTTGGTAGGAGAGGAAAACTGCTTTTCCTTCCATCTGTTCACAAAGGATCCCAATTCAATTTTTACTTGGTGCAACCCAAACTAATACACTAATCAATGCAACTTGAGGAAATTTTGGCATACAAATAAGAGAATTTTCAAATAGTATGAGCATTTATGTTTATTTGAAGCAGCAAAACCAGTTTATGTTTATTCAGCAAAAATAATATTATAATTTTCAAATATAAAATAGGCCTTCCACATTTTCTCATTCACATATATCTCTAATTGATTCTACAACATCTAGAAGAAGAAAAAATAGTAATATTATTTCTGTAGATGAAGCATAATGAGTTGTGAATATAAAAATATGTCCATTTTTCCTTTTTACCCTTTCATTAGAAAAAAGACACAAGTCACAAAAATCACACCTAAAATGATACCATCAGCAGCAGTGTGTCACAGCAATAAAACCCCACCCTGTCCAAAGAAAAAGAGAAAAAAGATCATCATCAACCAAAAGCTTAGTACAACAAATATAATATATATAGGAAAAGAAAGATAATGTCCTAACTTCGAAGGCACCTCTTGGAAAAAAAAGCATCTTCAACTTTTGGGGTCACCAAGTGGACCATCTGGGACAAATGAATTAAATTCTAATCATAGTTGGCCATTACAAAACTTGTATCCTTCAAAAAATTGAAACAAAAAGCACCTCCTACAGATAAAATATTGCATCTTACAAGTTAATTGTTGATTAGGTGTGTTCATGTCAATTTTGATGAAAACCAAAATACCCACTTGCTAATACAAGAAAGATACATCATAGAAAGGAACAAAACAATTAACTATACAGTAAACCAAGTAAATAATATGAAATTGCTGAGTATGGCCAAACAAGTTGCCCGATTATCATATTATTTAAGGCATTATATTAAGTATCAAAACTTCGAGGAGATTAAGATGCCAAAACTATATTATTAAACAAAAGCATGCCAATTCACCATAAGTTGAATCGGAACATAGTCCGTATTAGTTTATTTGATAAGATCTGGAAGTACTTGGGTTCAAAAGCTAACACGTTCACACAGACGATATAAAACATGGTACGTTGTTTCTTGTTTGTTTTATGTGCTAAAGTCAGAGAGTCAGTTGAAGATTCACATAACACATATCAAAGAGAGATTAAAGTAACAAAATTCAAAAGCTATAGAGAGAGGAAAGAAACCTTAAAAATCAGCAAAGGTTGGCTTCTTGTCTTTGTCTTTTTCTATTGTTTAAATAAAACCATCTTAGAAGGTTGTAGAGTACTTTATGTCTTCTATAGCAAAGAATAAGCAAGACAGTTCACATATCTTTAATATTCAATAGTATAATTTAAAATCTCTTTCCCTCGGTTTTAACAAAGAATAAACAAGAACCAATTGTCTTGAATCTCAATGAAGTGCATGTTAAGGTATTCTTGTTCCAAGGATTTGACTCAAACCAGATTACCCAAAAGACATTGCTGCCATAAGAATAAGGGCACAATAAGTGTCATGCAACAACAATTGAAGCAAACCCAGCTTAGCTACAGTTGGAAATCATGTAACATAACTCTGATTATTGTAACACGAATTTGTTTGAAAATGCAACAAGGAAGCAAAAACAACAACAACAACAATGATATATAACTGTGACAATTTTGTTAGTCTCCCACATGATAGTACTAATATATAAAACTAAATGATTAAAGATAAGATAATTAGTTTCGGAATAGTTGATCTTTTAGGTGTGATGTTACCTTTTACGTACAGGATGTCTGTTGTTAGACTTAATAATATCTGGAACAAAAAGAGTTAGTTAGTCCAAGCATTTATAAAAGCCAATGCCATCATCTCAAGATATATAATTCTAAGTAGCAGGCAGTACAGGCAACACAATAATCTACATGGTAATTAAGTCCAAAAACAATGGGAATGCATGATCAGAATTATAGCTAACACCTTTTTTTGAGTGTACAAATTTAAGCAGGGTATAAAAATGTTTGAACAAATGTCCGTCATATTATGTAAATTGAAAGAAAAAAAAATAAAAGAGGGGGGAACCCCTAAAAGCATCAAATCAGTCAATCAGAAAGGGTTGCCAATTTGCTCTGCATGCTAAGACCAAACTTCAAACTAAAGAAAGGCAACTTATATATTTTAAGAACCCAACTTGCAGACAGTAATCATTGAAATCCTTTAATTATGTATTTTTCCTTATTGTTTTAAGTGACAAATATTCTAAAACAAAACAGTTTACAATCAAGTAGGGAGAAGGCCTCGAAAATTTTCCTGATAAAGCCAGAGACTTTTCAGGGATTCCCTGATTACACATGGCCAACCATCTGATAATACCTAAACAACCATCACTACATAGTGCACACTGTCCCCCCTCTTTCCTCCTCATCTTCCATCATTTATTTAATTAACCATCAATCCTCGTTTCTAAAAAATCACTAGCACCTCTCACTCCTTTGAGACTTCATAAGCTGGTGTCATTTTTTTTCTCTTTTTCGAAAATTGGGATTAGCTGATCCTAATATTACCTTCCAATATAGCATAAAGAAAGATTGGATTCGTATCTTATGTATTCATTTCCGCTAAACTGGATGATCTACGTGGAAAAAGGAGAAACTTGCAAAATTTCTTTTATCGTCAAAAGAAGCCAACAATGTACCAGCTTATTGGGTTCTCAATTTGCCTAATCTGATAAACCAAAGCCGCTATAAAAATATCAATTTACAAGCCCCTACTGGATCAATAGTGATACAAAACATAAGCAAATACATTTGAACAACAGGAAGACTAGCCAGTGCGGAACTCTTATTTGTACCTCTTGCTCCATTAAGCCCATTACAAGAAGATTACTACCAGGCTTCACCACTAGTCTTTGCTTGAAACAAAAAAACATATTCAGTAGGTGTCCGTTTATAATTCCTGAAATATAAGCCAAAGATGGCTTGTTAGTGATGCCTTGTCAGTGAGAAAAATATGTCCATTCAGCACTAGTTTGGGCCCAACCCAAACAGCATACTTCCTCTTCGTCCACACATGCTGAACCAACTTTTCGGTCTATATGATGCCAAATCGAGTACATCACAGTGCACTTCTGCTCCATAGTATTATATATTAGCATACGTCTCAACCTGTTCCAAGCTATGTGGTCGGACACGCGTGCATATCCAGGTGTCAAGATCCTTCTAATTGTCAAAATTTGGGATATGTGGATGCAGATGATGCATCAAGGACTCCTTGAAATAATTGTTAAGAGTGTTTTAAATAATAAACTAAAAGTAAGGGTAAAATTGAAAAAGAACATAAAATATTAGGCAATTTTAAGAAGTAATTATACTGTTTAGGTCTTTTTGAAGAAGATAAAATTTTGCGCGGAAAAACTACAATTATAATGTTATGAACTTACTAAATTAAGATTTATTTTCTTCTCTTTTTGTTTGCAATGTGCCACTGTAGAAGGCTAAAACCCTAGCCTTAGCTGATTGATCGGGAATGGAAAGGCATTTCAATGGCCTTTTTTGACTCCAGAGAGAGTGATGAAATGAATCAAGGACCTTCAACAAAGCATGTTTTGGCTCCAACAAATATCAATCATTGTGAACAGATAAGTATTTATTCAGTTCTTTATCTCCCTTCCTCTTTCACTTCTTCTCTAGAGGTGTCGTGGTTAGGTGTCGTGTCATGTCGAAATCAGTACTCTAGGGCAAAATGCGGAGTCCAGGTAATATAGGTCCCAAGCACAAGGAATTCATTATCAAAATTGGACATTTCCATCATTCCCCATTAGACTTCCAAATTGACAATAGTTCAAAAAAAAATTATTTGTAATATTTTCTGATTTTGTAGAACCAAAATTGACAAACCGTAAAAAAAAATTCAAACCTGCTCACAGAATTCTATCCATTAGACAAACCAAAAAGTTAATACTAGAACTTCTCGACTTCATTATGCTCTGTAAAAGTCTACCATGAATTGGACCTTTCCATTCAATGTTTTCCAAAAAAATTTACTTGTGTCCAATGTATTATCAACATCTTTTTTCTTGACAGGAAACAGATTCGATTTTACTAAGAAAATTAAAGAAGTACTATAGGAGGAAATCATGCCAATATTTTATTCATCAGAAAAAAAGAAATATTATACAAAGGCACATAAGGATGAGGAATCCTTCAAGCTGAAGAAGTGAAAAACAGACGTACTATTCATACTGGCAACCCTACAAACTCCAACCCCAAATATCCAAACATGTAACAGCCAATGACGAAACTCAAGGAGGGTAAAAGTAAACCCTAAATGACATTGTTTAGGATACTCACTTCTTAGCGAAGAAACCAGCCTGTTTATTGGTAGACCATAGAATCCAACTGATATGTGCACATCAAGGCTATAAACACCGGTATGATCGTTGTATAAATGAGGCATAAAATACAATTTTTATTAAAAGACTTTATTACAGTGCTATATACATAAGGTTGCTCTAATATATTTGAAACAATTCAGAGACATTTGATACACTATGTAACAATTGTAATTATTATGAATGCTATCTTGAATGATGAGTCAAATAATTTACATATACATGAGATAAAACGTGTTAATCAGCAATAAAGAAAATAAAATCCCTATTAGCGCAACTAAAATTTTAAAAAATGGAAAATGGAATTTGAACTCAGGATGCACTGGGTGTCACAAAATAAGTTCACTTGCCAAAAAACATTTTAAAATATAAGGAAAAAAATTAACATGTATGTTTAAATTAACAATTCTTCCAATTATAGCAAGTACTGAAAGACGATTCAAAATAGAACTCAAATTTACTGAATAAGTGGTCATGTAACGTGCCTTCATATTGATAATGCAGCTTTCACCTTGATCGATCACCGAAACTTTTCATTATCAAAATTAATGATGTTGTTGTGGCCTGCATATAATCAAATAAAATTCATAAGGCTTCTAAATATCTCTATTTAAAGGGACAAAAATCAATTAAATTATATTTTTTGTTTACCAAGCACAAGCAGTGTTGACTTCAAGCAAAGCAATAAGAATATCATAAATTTAAGAGATGGCATGTGCTACAAAATGAGAAGTCTTAAGTATTGCCGGATGCAACAAGGTAAAAAGCAGTGGAAATGCTCATGCCCTGGCAAATTAATTGATAGTTATATATCAATTACAATAACTTATTTTTTTACATGGGAGACAGTATAAGCAAAATCCATCAGTATGTTACTCCTTGTGTGCTTACTTGTAGTGTTTAGACATTGGAATAGTTTGCATTGTCAACTAAAATGATTTGGCAAATTTCAGCCAAAGTTTCAGCAAGAAACCTTGACAATGTATGGTATTCATTTGTGGCCCTGTCATCTCTATTCCATCATCGCTGAGCAACAAAATCCCTGATGAAGTTATTTTGAAAGGGAATGAGAGAGATGGAGATATTGGAGACTTTGCTATCTTCATAAACCTCTGACCTGCAAGAGAAAGGAGATATTTGATTTTCAGATCCAGTAAGAACATAAAGCAAAAATCCTCTGATTCAAATGTTATTGATATTCCCTTTAAACGATAGTCTACTACAGTATTTAAAGGATTTTAAAGTGTCAATTTCCAAATATTATTATTTTCAAAAACCTTGAAATAGACTGAAATATGTCGGCTATGATGATTGTAAATGTGAAAAGGATGTGAAAAGAGTAAGGAAAATGCTAACCAGCACTGCACATTGCAGTAATAATATGGTCTGCTTTTTAACTCCAAATTTGGAGCCTCAAGAGACCTCAAAATCAGGGAAAATAAACTGTCAATGTAGCTTAAAGAATATCCTTTTTAAAAAAATATATATAGAGATAGAAGGTAAAATATCGGTTTCATAGCATGGCAGATTAGTGTCATTCTATGTCAAGGCAAGCTCCAAACCAACCTGATTTAGATTCGAGCACAAGACGAATAGCAACAGCATGAGCCCAGTGAATTCCTAAAGCAGCGCCAAGATGAGAATCAAACCTTGCGGGGTCATTCACAGTGTCATCCCAGCTTGGCACTGCACAGGGTGAACTATTGGTTAATGGTTCAGAGCAGAAGCTTTCACACCATATATATATATATATAAACACACATACACCATTATACCTTGAAAAGAATATTGGGAAGCTTCATCACTACTTTGAGATCTTACTTGGTTAGTCACCAGTATAGGAATTCGCGAAAATTCTGCAAGTGACCTAGAAAAGTTGAAGAAACATCAGTCGAGCAGCAAAGACAATAATCCACAGAAAGAATTTCCGAGAAATTTAAGTAGATACAATGCTCACTTAATAAATGAAATATGCCAACCCAGTGCATGTTGTCTAGGAGGTCCCTGTTCATATTCCCTGACAAAAATATGATGAAAATATTGCTTAAATAACAGCACAAACCAGAGATAAAACATGGTGCATGGCCATTACATGTTAAAAAAAAAAAATCACAATATTTCAGGTTGTGGTGGTTATATGGGTATGGTAATATGGCCTCTATACATCAAAGTATAACATCAATACCATTATTCCTACTGTTCACCAAAATTTCCGTACAAATGTAAATAAAATATCCAGGTATGGAAGAATTTTCTTTGATTAGCCAACTAAATAAAAATTCACTTTAAAAGGACAACTTATGTTCATAAGGAGATGATTGGAACAACTTAACAATTCAAGGCTACCATCTTTAATAACCAAAATTTGAATTCCAATAAAAAACCCAATTCATAAAAGCATCAAGAAGCGGATAAGTGTAACAGGTTGGCGCTTGCCACCAAAGCTGTTATAGGTGGTGCTGCCTGCCCGCCCTTATAAGTCCAAGACCCTAGTTGTCCGTATTCGATATGGAACAAGAACCATGTGACATTCTCTTCCACCCGAACCCGCAACACCGTCGTTGCGGTCAAATGATCCTACCTACCCGTTTACCCTAACAGCGGGAGGACCTAGTAACGACCCAGACCCGAACACCTCCGAATAAGAGCCTGGGTCAGCTTCGATAAGGTCATGGGGTTCTTGTCCCACATTGGATATGAACAGGGAGGGAGGCTGATAAGGGCAGGCAGGCAGCACCACCTAAAGTCAGCTGGCAAGCGCCTGACCCATTACAATAAGCTAATATAGATTCAGAAACAGGGCTAGACTTGCTTCTTACAGTAACAACTACCACCTGAAATTGCATAGCAGATAACTTAAAGTGCAAAAAATACATCCAATTAAATATGGCAACGGCAGCTTACCCTGAAATAAGAGCTGCCATGCTATCAATGACAAGCAGCTTCACTTTGTGCTGAAGAAGTGAAACCTTGATTTGTTGTAAGCTGGGAAGAAAGAATGCAAGATACAATTTACAAATCAATTGCAGTTGTCTCTTGATCAACTAGTTCGACAAATGCAATAAAGGCCAAAAGACCATCTTTTATTTGCTAATAACAGACTTGTATCTTTCCTCTTTATCAACATTAATGCCTTGTTTCAGGATTCAAATATGAGTATATCATTGTTCCAAATGGTCCGGTCCTAATCTTCTGGGCATGTGACCAACCCATCTCAGCTGGCACTCACATATTGTAACCTATTGATGCTCCTCTGAGTTCTTACAAAGTCCAAATGATCTTATTTTGTCCACTCTTAGGCTAAGGGGCATGAAAAATGATTATAGTTCACACCTCTCAGTGAATTCAGATAGAGATGAAGGCCGCAAAACTAGGATCCTGCCAGCCATCTGCAATATAAGTGAAAACTATTCTTTTAGATGTTGAACATTTTGTTATAAGTAACAAAAAGAAGACATAAATTAATGGCCATGTTGCACACCTCCTGCGCCATTCCTTCTGTGTGAAATATTTCTGGGAAACTATTAACTCCAATTTCTATCATCCTAAGAAAGGCAGATTTCACAATTTGAAAATATTCTGCATGTCTAACTAACTCTTAGAAATGAAATTAGTATCATAAACCTGAAACTAATATCATAAAGCCATGCATGGGTTACCTTCTTGAACTAAATTTGGATTCTACATCTATATATATTACATGGCCATCTAGACCTCCACAATTAGCAGGCAGTGAAGCTAGCAACGAAAGCTTCAGGCAAAACTGCAATTTCAAACAAAATAAGACAGAATCAGATGACCAGGTCATGCATTACTAGGTGATTTTATGTTATATGTAGGGAAAATTTTCTTGGACAACACATCATTCATAATTTGCAAAGGAATTGAAAGCTTTCTGAAATGTATTTTTCTAGAAATAGGCATAAAAAGTGAAATTTTTAATCAAGCACATCCCTGACATCGTGCCTCTATTTGACCTCCATTCAGGTACATATGTAGGGTGCATGTATGTGTCTATGCATTTAATTTATCAATATCCGAGATTTAAGGAGATGGGGAAATGGCTAAATAATATTATTTAGTATTCTTCTTAATTTTCTAGGATAATTTAATATTTTTATTATTATTATTATTTTTCCTAGTTGATACTCGCACCCCCCCTCCCCTAAAGGAATTGTTTGCACCTGGAGGAGTCGAACCTTAGACCTAAAAAAAATAGAGAAAAAAAAAAAATGTAGACCTGATGCTTCCCGAGGCACCAGGGCCAAGTTCTTACCCACTTGAGCCAACTCCTTGGGATAGTTTAATATTTTTACATTACTTTTTAGCAAATTTTCCTTGCAAGAATATAAGACTATGACTGGACAAGTTAATTTTCCATCCAAATAAAACAAGTTAAGGATGATTGTTGAACTAAGAGAACAAAAATGAATGGAAAAAACAGTTGGGGAGTTTCACAAATATATATATATATATATATATGTATGTGTGTGTGTGTTAGAAAAAAGAAAAGAAAAAGAGTGACAATCTAATCCATATGAAATAGAAAAGACCAATTATCAGCTCAAAGCGCCCAAAATATAAAAAAATTAAAGTTTTATTGAATAGTGAAAATTCTGTTTTCATGCTTGTCATACTTGTGTTTTGCCAATTCCTGCAGGACCGACTACCTCAGTCAAAACACCAAATGGTATTCCACCACATAAGGCCCCATCTAATCCTTTCAGACGTGTGGGAAGATGCCCAGCAAAGAACTCATTTTCTAGGTGCTGCTCCAGCAGTGATATTGCCTACAAGCGAAACCAAAACAACACTTTTAAGAAGAAGAAAAAATGACATAATCTGCTCTCATACACAGATAAGCATATCAAAGTAATACAATCGATTCAACAATACAGTTACCAAAATATGCTTACAGTTTGAAAAGGTGGACATGCAATTTCACTTATGTATGCTACAGCGGATGTAACTTCTGCCAACCCGACATCCAACAACTCCATCAACTCAAATTCAGTTAAGGACAATGCATCCTGAAAGGGGGAAAATATATGTCAGTCTCTCCCGTTAAGAGAACAATATTTAAACTTACATATCGTGGAGCAGCTGTAATCATAAGCGACACTGAAAAATCGGTACTAGTACTAACCAAATTCAAATTCTAAATTGAAGAAAAAAAACAGGTAAAAGGGCCTGTTTCTTGATTTAATATATATATATATATATATATATATATATATATATATTACAAACAAACAAACAAACTGTTAATATGGTTTGTAAATATATTCAAACAACATAAAAGGGGGTTCTCTATAAATCAGAAATTAAACTAGCTCAATTTGAAATTTAAATTCCTAACTTGTTGAATTATGGCAAAAGATTATTCAATTCATTGTTTCCTAACTGTTTCAAATTTAGATATAAATTCAACGACCAACACACGTTTATACATGTATAACACCTGTTGGCACTAAGTTTTGAATACTGAGTAAAATGACTGCACAAGGCCTTTTAATATGGATGAATTTAGCCACTTTTTGTTCTTGTGTGGGTCTATATTGTCAAATTCTTGTTGGCTTGTAGACAATGAGTGTTTCTTCCATATATATACACACACATATATTGAAGCATTATTATGGAGCATGAATTCAACAATTCAACCAGTTTGAGAACAAAATAAGGCTCGTACTCATCCATTAAAAGATCCAAATCGAAACCGATCAGTACTTCCAATTCATGACTTAAACCCTAATCTCAAAAATGGAGATCGGAGCCGTTAACATTCAAAGCAGCGTTTAAGTGAAGATGAAATCGAGATAAGCTCAAAGAAACTAGAGAGACAATGGAGTACGTTGGGTGTGGTTGAATACCTTGGCGGTTGTGATGTTACGAGCTGCGAGTATGTTTGCTATTGATTTGGGCAGACCCATCTGAGTGATGAGCTTGTTCGCCATCTCTCCTTCTAGAATGGATTTCTATGGCCTCTTTTAGCACATTTTGTTGTAGCTTTCGTGACTTTCCCGCCAAATCTAAACCCTAGCCAGTTGCTAAGGAAATTTCTTAGGGCCCGTTTGGCGGAGTTTCCAGGCCTCCAAAAATGGAACTTTGGTTACACATTTTTAAAGTCCCTTTCGAAAAAGACGATAGTCAAAAAGTAGGACTTCTGATAAGTACAAAAAAAATTATTGCTTTTAGACATTTATTTAAGTAAATTTATTATTTACTAATTTGTCCATCTAATTTTTATAAACTCACAAGATTAATCATATATTCTCTTTTATTCCCTTATCCTCCACAGCCACTCATTGAACGCCCCCTTATACTTTCAATTCTATTGAAGGCTTGCAATAATATTGGAGAATAAAGAATAATATTGGAGAAGAAAGAAAGAAAAAATCAATTTAAAAGTTAAAGTGCATTTAAAATGGGCACTGTCTTTTCTTTTTTTCTTTCTCATAAATTGTAAGACTTTTGAAATTAGGGAGCTCCTTCAAACGGCACCAATATTATTAATGACAATTAACAAAAACTATAACCTTATTATTATTATTTTTTATAATCCATTGCCCTACTAAAAAGAAAAATATCTCCAGGTAATCAATTCATGCCTTGTTTCTCCATATAATCAATTCATGCCTTGTTTATTTTTTGTTTGAAAATTATCAATAAATCACTATTCACCTTTTTCTTTATCTCTCCATTTTTTTTAACAAACATTAGATTTTTTTTTTCTTTTTCTTTTTATTTTTTAACAAACATGAGACCAGATTATTTTGTTTTAGGTCATTTCATTCTAGCATTTTTTTCAATCTAAACGCGTGTGTTTTGAACTATTTATAGAATAAATAAATATACACGAAAATAGAAAACTTGTACTGATTTTTATATTACTTGTGCATAGAAAAAATAAATAAATAAAAATTGGGTTAGTACTCTTAATTTGATTTGTGATTGCGTCGTTATTGTAGTTTTTTTCCTTCCATATTTTCATTTGTTTAGAATTAAATCTCCGTTTAATTAAATTTAAGCACTTTCAGAGGTCAAAAAAGTGCTTTCGAGGAAACGGTATCAAAAACAGCCCCTCAAAAGTGTCCAAAAGACTCCAAACCGTGGGAGCACTAAACCCAAATTACAAACAGTCACGTCTTTGTAGATTCATTTCGAAGAATTCTGAAACTAGAAGAAGATGAATTTTCTCAGAAGCTTTGCGAAGGCTTCGAAGAGCCGAATAAACAACAGAACACCATTTCTACTGGTAACTTCACGTTCCTTCTCGCAGCTTCACTCCCAGTCCGAACGGTTCGTCTTCGATCCTCCATTATTTATATATGTATTTGTAAAATCTAATGCATAGAATGAGTTTTTTCAATCTTCAATTGTTCGTCTATGTGTGATTCGCAGGCCTTCTTTCGGCATTGCTTTCGACATTGACGGCGTCGTTCTTCGGGGCTCCGCTCCAATCGGAGGCTCTCCGCTAGCTCTCAAAAGATTATACCATGAATGCGGTATACAATTATCATCACTTTTATTTTAATTACTTAGTTGTTTTTTAGCTAGGTTTTGTTTGATTCAGTTTTATTTTTATATTTGGGCTGGTGTCGTCTAGGAAAGTAATATTTCTTCTGCAACCATGAAAATTATACGACCGTCCCCTTTGATCGCCAAGAAAGTGCGAGAAAATGAAGGAAAACTTGGGCGATGAGATGAGAACCGGTGAAAGACAGAGTAATAGGAGTAGTTTTTGTTGTGGTTTGGTTTGGAGGTTTTCTTTCTGGGTACTGAAATTTCGTCAGTTTGATTTAAATTTTAAATAAAATAATTATATCATGGAGAGAAATTAGAAATTCACTGTTATTAGATTTTATTTACGAGAAGTATTCCATCTTGTAGAAAATAACCACGTTGTAGGACAAGCTTTAAGGTCTGTTTTGTTTTTGTTCATTTCTATTGGAGGCTGCTATTGCCTCAGGGAATATGGCTTACAATTTCTTTTTTCTTTTGTCTGAACTCAAATTTTAAGACAAATCCATCAAGGACTTTTATTATTTGATTACTTCTAGAGTACTATTTTTGTAGCATTTTCATCCTGCGATTGCATATATCGACTTTTTGTCCCTTTATTTAACTTATGAGTCTCTTATTCTTAGCAGGTACACTGAAAATACCCTTTGTTTTCTTGACAAATGGTGAGTTTTTTTTTTTCTTTTTATTTTTATATTGAATTTTATTATGTTTCATTAATGTACACATGGTACTTTAAATGATACTTTCTTCTTCTTCTTTTTCTTGGGGAACTTTTTCACTATCTATATGTTGAATGATGCTTGCAATTGAGTTGTGACAGATATGGGAGTGCATACATGTTAGTTTGTTTGACAATGAATTGCAGAGGATGGAGGGGATTAAAGTGTCAACTTATGATTTAATAAAAAGCAAAAGCAAACTCTGATTTTAAGTATGATTGTACTGCAGCGGTAGAACCTGGTGAGGTTGACCAGGCATACTACTTTCCCAACCAAAGTTACTCAGTAAATTAGACCAAACAATTTTCTTGTATGATCATGCATTTTTATTTTTTATTTTTACTTTTCCATATGATTATAGGATGGTTCTGGAGAATTATGATCTTATATAATTGTATATAATTCTTAATGTGGTCATTTCCGTAGAACAATAGACTAATTGGTGTGTGTATAATGTATATATATGAATTTTGTCTACGGGTGTATTAATTTCAACAGGAGGTGGTATCCGTGAATCAAAAAGGGCCTCTGAGTTAAGCATGCTATTGGGCATCAATGTTTTACCTTCACAGGTACTGTTTTGAAGAATTTTTAATTTCTAAGAAAGAGCTGTCTCTATTATTTTTTTAAGTTGTATCTTGTTCAATAATATATTTTTAAATATATCAAGATTTAGTGGATAATGATAGGATTTGAATATGTTTGGGTCAGAACTGACAGAGTTAATTTACTGAACTTCTTTACCTTCTGTTTTCCTTAAAAGTGCATAAGGTTTTTTTTTTTAATTTTTATTTTTTAAAAAAATTATTATTTATTATTATATATTATCTTTTGGCCTTTTGACTGAAATTTGGCTGGAATTGAGAAGCAGGTTATACAGGGGCATTCACCTTTTAAACGGCTCGTAAGTAGGTATGCATTTTTTTGATTTATGATCAATGGGAGAAAACCAATGCAACTGTGATATAATACATAAAATGTCCTACAATGTACTAAAGGGCTTTTATTTGGATTGAGTTATGATTCATGTCTATTGGTATGATTTTTGCTTAGGGTGAAAGAGTTACCGAATTTAACTGAGTGCCCCCTCCATTGCCAAAGATTTGGCTTATCAAGGAAACAGAAAAGATTGAGTTGGCAATAACCTTCATAAAGTAGTTAAAAATCTTTCAAATATATGATGAAACCTTGTATCATTTATCAACATAAAAAAATAACATAAGATGAGATTATTAAAAATGACTTTAAAAAGTTAAATACACACCCAACCTTTGGCATTAGTTGCACACAGTGTATTTTTCAAGATTTGAACCGTGTTCTAACGCTTAACAGCCGGAGTATTTTACTGGTGCACCAAGCAATGCCCCCCTCTTCGTTATATGGTTTTATATGCAATTTACAATATCAAATATTCTTTGAAAAGCTTGATTATTTTCTGTTCTGTCTATGTAAACAGGAAATTCTGTAACTGATATCAATGTTAACAATTGTGGCACTACAAATTCTTTTTGGTTTCTGAAAAATGAAGCTTTGGAAGTTACTTGAAATTTATAGTTCTGATTCCTTCTTTTTAGTTGAATAATTACCTTTCTCCATTTTCTTAAAATTTGAGAGATAAGTAAGATGTGATAATGGAAATTTGAATGCATAAAATAGAAAAGATTTTATATTGCTTGATTGATGAAGTCTATATCTTTTATAACTCGTCCTTTTATCAATTACGACTTTTGTCTTACAGATTTGAGAATGAGCTTGTTATTGCTGTGGGCAAAGGAGAACCTGCTGCAGTGATGTCTGATTATGGCTTTAAGTAAGGATTTAACTCTCTTGTCGCAGTTTGATTTGAACTGAACATGTTAAATTTCATCACAGCTGTTGAATGCACTCTCCAATGTGGTCCAACCTTTGTATTGTTAATTTGCTTGTGTGCTTTTCCTGTATTTATTTTCAGAAATGTTCTTTCTATAGATGAGTATTCATCTTACTTTGACAACATTGATCCCCTGGCACAATATAAGAAGTGGACATCAAAAGAGGTAGAGAACAACACCTTTAAAGAGATGGCCCCACGCAACGATGCTTCCCCACAAAGAGTGCATGCAGCATTCATTGTTAGTGATTCTGTTGACTGGAGCAGGGACATTCAGGTTAATAGTCAATCTATGGTTTCATCTGATCATCCAATTTTCCAATGATAATCTCATGATTCTAGGTATCTTGTGGTAAAGTCTATGAAACATTGTACTAAATATCAAACAAATTGTACTCATGCACTAGGGACCTCTTGCTTCTTCAGTGTAGAATTTGGTAAAAACTGATGGGCTCTATATTCTTGCTGGCTTTCCTTGTCAATAGTTTATGCATGGAATGTTGTCATCTCCATTTGATCATCTCTTTTTATATTAGGTGATAAGAGCTTATTAACACTTGCTAAAATAAAAATAAATAAATAAATAAACAAACAAAAAGAAACTATTCACTTTAATACAAGAAGCTAAGTAACATGGATGTGTATGAAAAGAAGCATGTTCATGTCAGTTATATACATCAATTCATATATGCATATACTAACATATATGTGTGCATACACATGTAGTTATGTATGCATGTTTATTGACTCCTAAGACACTTCAAACATGGGGTATGGATATATACAGCAGACATGTGAGGGTGAAGTTTTTTTTATTCAAATTTAAAATATCATATAAAAGAGGGTTTCAGTATGAGGATGGGGATATTTTTTAACATTATACATTCATGTCTTCTTTTAACAAAAATGTATCTTGCCAGCTCACCCACATGAAATGTGTCATGTCCAAATTGTGTTGTATGAATATGTTTGTTTTGTAAAAAAGGAAAGTTGAGTTAAGAGAAATTCTCAGTTTTTAACATTTTTTTCTGTCCTTGGATTTCCTTCACTTCTACTTTTTTCAAATGGTTGAAGCACATGAATAATTTTTACATGGAACCCTAGTAAAAAATCCACATCCTTAGGAACTAACAAAATAAAACTTCTTTCGCATGCACGTAACTTACAGGAGAACTTTTGCATGTTTATGTGACAGAAGTATATTCGGTACATCCTTAAAATATAGCATGTACTTGATAAAAACACTACAGCTAGGTTCCTTTAAACCCTTGCGGTTTGATAACCAACAGGAGAAAAAGAAAAGGAAACAGAACTTCATTCTTCTCCTCCATAATTACATTGCTGAGGTTTATTTTATAAGTGCAGCCACTGTATTCTAAAGCCATGCAAAGTTATGATGTGACAAAGTTAAATTAAGAAGCTACTTGTAATAGCGAGGGCCTAAATGAACCAATCCTGGATCTCAGCAAAGCCTGTTCCCACAGAGGTTTGCTTCACGAATCCTATTTTTTTATCTGCTTTATTGTAAAGTCATTAACATACTTAAACCACATGTCATATCTTTCCTCACAATCGCAACCCATCAGACCATGTTACTTTAATGAATCAATCCTGGACATTCTGAATAAACATGTATCTTACCAGGAATTCGAGGAAAAAGGGTAAAAATTGGCACTTAGGGAAAAAGAGAGAGAGAGAGAGAGGGTGATTTATGCTCTTCATATAAGTCTTGGCGTAGATATTGGGATTTTCTGGCTTCGTTTATATTTCTATCATAAGATCCTATCTTGAGAAGTGGTCCAGATTTCTTTCATTGCAACCACAAGTCAAGCATAGCATAAAACAACCCGACTTTTCATTGTTTCTCTTTTATTTTATGAGCTTTTGTGTCAAGCTACCTGAGTGTTTCATCCTGTTAAGTCGCTTTCTAATCCTGTCTTGACTATCTCAAATGTATTGAAACTCAACTTTGGGCTGACTGATGGTGGTTTTAGGTTCTCTGTGATGTTTTGAGAACCGGAGGTCTTCCTGGAAGGGAAATTGCACACCAGCCACCTCTGTATTTTGCAAGTGATGACCTTGAATACCAGGTTAGTTATGATGTGTACCCTGGAGGTCATATCTAGCTTCAGTCTGATAATGTACTGATGAAGTGTCATGAAAGTTAGGCACTATTTCCGTCCGAACGTCTTGGTATGGGTGCTTTCAGAATTGCATTAGAATCCATCTTCAACAGGTAAGCCAGAGAATGCTCTCGGTAAAGTTCAGTTATGGTTGCTGCCAGATTGCCTTGTTGGCTCCTTTATAGCAATGCCCCCAAAATGACAGGAATGACAGCAATCTCTATAGAATGAGTTTCCCGTTCATGAGATGGAAAAATCAGTTAAAAGGATGCATTTAGCAATAAAAATTAAAAGCCAGATAAATAAATAAATATATATATATATATATTTATATTTATATAGGGAGCTAATACAATATCATTTCATGATGTCCGATGCAGCCTGTGACTTGATTTATGAAAGAAATCATATTATTTTGAATCTAAGCCCTGATGATATTCTGATTTGATTCCAATGGTTTATTATGTAGAATTCACCCTAATGCTTTGGAGTATACATCTTTTGGGAAGCCTAATCCATCCGTATATAAGAATGCTGAAACTGTATTGATGCGACTTGTTACGTCATTATATCCGAACCTTCAGGTTCTGAATCTAGCAAATGGTGGAGATAATATTTTTAAAACTCTATATATGATAGGAGATAATCCTTCGGTTGACATCAAGGGTGCACGACAGGTTAGTCTTTCTGGAACTTTAAGTTTGGTTGTTAGCTGCATCATCCACATTTGAGAATTTTGATGTTGAATTTTATATTTCCCATTTCAGGCGGGACATCCTTGGTTTTCTATTCTGACAAGGACTGGAGTTTTCAAGGGGAAGGAGAATCATGCCGAATATCCCGCAGATCTGGTTGGTGAATAAATTCATATGTTAGTTTATATGCAACATTTTGAAACATTTTCTATATAAGTCTGTTTGTGTGGCATTGCTCTCCTGGAATTGAAATGGGTCCAGAGGAGAGTTTTTGCTATATTATTATTATTATTTTATTTTTTATTTTTCTTTTCTGGCAAATGATTTTTTTTTTTTTTTCTCGCTCGCTAAAATAGTTTTGTCACTTACCTTTTTTTATTATTCTTTTTTATTTTTTGAGTCATAATTTGGAGTTAAGTTTTGTTCGAACCAAAAATTAGAAGTAAATATTTATGCTCTGTTCACATGAGAAAATTGCTTCTAATAATATGGCAGCAGGGTTAACCTTTATGTCATGAACATAATTCAGTCATCGACTCATCCACAACACACAAACCATATTATCAATATCTTGCTTGTTAAATGCTGGTTTTGGTTGAAAATTTCCTTCTAAAAAGAAAGTTTTGAACATTTTTTTGCTGTATGTTGTTCGTGCAGGTTGTTGATACTGTGCAGGATGCAGTGAACTATATCTTGACAAAGGAGCATGTTTCATAACGCTTATATGCCAAATCCGTTCCAAGGGTATTATTATTCTGTAAAGCTAGTTCCGTACAAAAGAAAGAAGGATACTCCTTTTGGTAGTTGCAAAATATAATGAATTCCGGAATTTTTTTTTTATTTTTTTTCTTCAAAATTTTGGTTGGCTTACCTATTATTTTACACTGGATGATGCTTGTACGTTTTGCAGATATTATACAATTCATTAATTATTCTGCCTCCAGTTTGCCGGCGTCTAAAAATAGGAATTTAATGGTTCACTGCTATCTGCTAGGCTTTTTGAGAGGCCTTACATATTCCCAAGTATCCATAGTTTCTGCTTTCAAATTATTTCCAGTCTTGCATCCTCAAATCTTCGTGAAAAGAATATTGTCTCTGGAAGACATTGTTCATGGTCAAACATATAATACACAAGGGGTGTTTAAAGGAATGGTTGTCCAATCAAATTTAAAGTGATCCATTTACTGAATTCTGTATCCTACCAGTGAAACCACAAGGAAGATACATGATGCAAAAAGAAAACAACTCCTAAGTCCCATTTTACAGTCAAAATTTGATGACTTGTTTAGGTTGGCTTCCTAGCTTTCCAAGCGACTTGTCCAGAGCAGTGTGAAAATCATTAAAAGGAACCAGCTCCATCCTGCAAAAAGAGCCATCTCATCAGCCATACGTTAAAACAACAAAAGCATTCCATACCAGACCATCACCCCTGGCGGTTGACCAAGCATCTTAGATTATCCATTTCCCAATAAAACATGTACAAGATGAAGAGTGGGATACCCGCCGTACAAATGAGCCGTTAGCTGAAACTATATGACAAACGAAGAAAATAACCTCATTAACCTGAAACCCGGGCTCTGGCATAAAAGAGCACAATGAACATCCTGTTTTGAGTGTTGTGAGCACAAAAAGCACTTAAACATGGATCTTAAGTATAAAAAAATTTAAAAAATAAAAAAATAATAAATAATAAATAAATAAAAAAGAAAAAGACAAATCCCCAACCAACCAGCTATGTCCTCCAAAATGAAAATCAACAAAAAGAGAGGAGCAGCAATAGAGATGAGCGCAAGAAGACTGAAAAAACACAAAGGCAAGATCATCCCTCAGGGTCATCATTGGAAATAAGACCCCATTCAACAGTCAGCCATCTATAAGCATAAAAATAAAAAAATAGAAAAGGGTTTGTAATAAATAGAGCTTGAAGTTACATGAAACACAGTGATACACGGCATAAAAGTTCGAAGACCCCAAAGGTCTGAAGAACAGTGAAAATGGACAGGTATGATCAAAAGGAGAAAAGTCAGAGACATCCCATAGGATTAAGTCTGCCTTGCACCATTGACCATCATCCATAGTTCTTCCAAATTTTAAAGCAATTTAAACACACATTTAGCCTTAATCCAAAGTTCCTAAATGACAAACTGGTGATTTAATAGTAAATTTGGAAATAATCATGAACTTTGGTGTTGGGATTTAAGGTATCATCACAAACGTCAGGGGATGTTCATGAAAATCACTGTTTCGGGAAATGCAGTACCATCACAACAAAGCTGTGTAAAGCTGATCCTGGTTTTACATTGTAATCTGCCTCGTTCCAGGCAACCCAAAAATTACATGTAAAATCAATATTTGGCATCAACAATCTCCAGAATGCATGCATTTATCTTTCTTTTCCTTGCTAAACAATAAAAGGATTCCAAAGATAAAGAACATACTCATATGTTAATTTCCCTTCGCGCGCAACACCCAAAATGTAATCTATCATATTTCTGCACTCCATTGCTTTATCTGAACTCATCCATTTCTGCAACCAGAATCCCCTCAAAGAAAGGTCCTGCAAACACAGATTAAAATATACCATTGATGTAGGAAAGATGTAGTGAACTGCGATGTAGCGTGTGTACTTTGTTGTAGTAATAGTGATGCTTTAAATAAAGCAATATATTGGGATCAAAAGCTAGAATAACTATTGTTGTAAAGCCAATTCCTAGTCTTATTACCCAACATTACAACCCACCATAGCAATCATTTCTTTTCCTCTTTAATGCTGCCCCCAAATATTTGTTAAACAAATTAAGGATTTTAAAATATCACAAATTTTTTGAGACTTGGACATCCAGTTTCAATTTGGATCCATTAAGAAAATTTAATCACTTCATAGCTTCTTTGTGAAGCTATAGGATATAGTACTTCATGTCATTTTAAATAAAATTTATCCTGCACCAAGAAATGCTGTTCTTGTTGCTAAATCAGTTCCTACATTTTACCCCCGTCGCCAAACTCTAAGTTTCAATTTTATGAACTTCTTTTAAATTCCCAAAGCAGCACCACTTCAATATGCTTCAGCTTTATTTCTACTGCATTAGAAGTGATAAATTACACATCCATGCAAAAACTTTCACAGGGATAGTCTGGCGTCTTAAACAAATGAATCATTAAAATTAAGACAACTGCATAAAGATCAGCTTTTAGTGAAACTTAACAATGTAACACGATCAAGATATGTCAATCTTAGTCAAAATGCTGCCGTACTTTAGATGCCTCAAGAACCAAACATAATTGATGGATCCTTATGAAAAAGGTAATTAGGCCTCTCTGTCAATCACTTCCAACACATGGAGGAGTTGCAAGAAATGACTTCTTTTTATCCCATAATCTTGATTCTTGCTACTCATGGAAAGTATATGCTAGTAGCATTTATAAGTCAGAAACAGCAGTAGAACGAAAAACAAGGCCCTTGGAAGCAGAATATTATATGAAGCAAATTTATATTTTGTCTCAACTCAGTTAATGGCATGTAGGGTTTAGCGCTCAAGTAGTTTTAAGGAACATTTTTTTTTTGATAAGTAGTTTTAAGGAACATTTTTTAAGTTTAATGTGGTGCTACTTTGTCATAAATTTTCAATGGCCCATTCTACCCATCATGATACGATATCTACATTTTCTAGTCTTCGCTTGTTTGTTAAACTCCATTTTCCCTCTGTTAGCTTTCACTATTGTGAGTGTGTGGAAGGACATGTAACCCTTCCTCTTCTATTCTTTGCGGTCTCTCTCTAATGAATCCTTCTGATCCAGAAATAAATAAATAAATAATTACATAAAGTATGAAAATTTTTCCTTTATCAATCTATGAACAAATATTGACGGAGAAGAATTGCATTTGCCCATCAACCTTTGTCCATGGTCAAATCTTCAATTAATGATCAGGATTGCAGATATCTAATCATTATTTCTATGATAGTCATCTTTAACTTTGGTGCAGGTGTTCATTACTAACAATCCTAAAAAATTTCAACTTGCTCCCACCCATGTACTTTTAGTGAAAACATTTCTCATACTTGCATATGGACATAGCATAACACATCAACCGACAGTCCCTTATATGTTATCGCTGTTATAAGGGTAGCCCAAATACATTAATTCACCTGAATATCCTCATATCAGCTACAGTGATACACATACATTATGAACACACAGACTCTTGATAGCCAACAATTTTTATAAAAGCAACACATCAATGGAAGTTTCTTGGCTTACCTTAAATATGAACGCTGAAGTGGGTACAGTTACAGGTTTCTTAGACATTCCACCATATGTAACCATAGTTCCTCCCTGCCTGAAATAAAAAATGTTGCAGCCTTAGAAGATGAAGCTAGATTTGGAACAAAACAATTTTTAAGAATTAAGCATTGCATATCTTACCTCAAGAATTTGAGAACCAAAGAAGCAGAATTGCCACCGACACAGTTATATCCCACTGCAGGTTCAGGTACACTAGTCTAGCACATTCATGAGATGTAAAAATGGATGACTTGCAGCTAGAACAAATAAATATTCAATTTCTTTTAAATCAAAATATTCAACGACATCAAGTACATATGAGACAGCAAAAACACCTCCCTACATCACATACTATAAACTATAACGGGCTATTATATGATACCAGGAGACTTTTCACATTCTTTACTTCAAGTTGGCTCTCTGTATATACTTCATCTGCACCAAGTTTCTTAAGCTTCTCCTTTACTTCTTCTGATCCAGCTCTGTAACAAGCAGAATGTAATAAATGCATGTAAGATATTTTTTCTAGTGAGAGCAAATTGTACATGTACAATAGAATATAATCACTGTTGAGAGATGTAGTTGATTAAGCATCACATGTCAATGCACCTACATTACACACATTTGTTTGCAGGCCCAAATTACAAGGGGCTGCTCAAGTAATATGCGGGTTTTGAGGGTTCAATGCTAAACTAATGCATGGACAAAGATCAAAGGAGATTAGAGAACATTAATTACATGCAAGGCAACTGTGTAAATAAAGGATGTTTAGAGGAGCAGAAATAGGAACCCCTTATGCCTGTTGTGGAATGTTTGGGGGAGCAAAATAGGAACCCTTGCAGATTAAAATTACAGCTTCACAAGTTAAAGAATCTGAGGTCAATATCACTATTTTTTTAGTCGTCAAGAGGTTCTATTTTCCCGACCCTATAATTATGCTGACTGTTTTGGTCATCCAACCTATGTTATAAAACCTGACAGGACTGGCTAGTTGGACCGATGGTCTGGGAACCAAGCCCTTCTACAAGATCCTAAAACCCCAAAACCAGATCTACCAAAAACAGTACATCTTAAGAAAATCAGCTTGTAATACAGGCCAAACTGGTGAGAGGTAAGACCAATTCACACTCAGGTTAAGATCAAAAAAGGAAAAAATTACGGCTCCATCAGACTCCTCGTGTTGCTCTCAGCCTCTAGTACATGTTCATTCGACAAACTTCTTCATTCTTCAACTGTCATGCTTGAAACGTGATGCCTGGCAACCACTGCCCAGCCAAAGCTGTAGCCTGTCACTGGAATACTAGAAGGTTCCTATATCTTCTTTTATATCTCTCTATCTATCATTCTTTATGCTAAAGTTTTTGGCTTCCTGTTTCCACCTCTCTTGATTCCCATACTTTTGTTAATTCAACATGATGGAATTGCTTAATTTTACTGCTGGCTTTCACATTGGACTGATTAAGCTCATTTGTGGCGTAGTTATAGTCTTATAGATTACATTACTACATTGTTCATGAAAAATATATGTTGTTTCAGATAACTGTTGTAATGTAATTAATTTATTGTTCTCATTAGACATTAGTTAATGGTGCTCGAAAAAAATCTGATATAGTCACAAATATGACACATAATTTTCCCTTTTATAGTTTAAGATGATGATTCCTCTGTTCTGCAGATATGGTTGAAGTGTTTTCTTATCCTTTATGCAACAGTTGAAGTGCCAAATTGTGATTACTGTTATGTTATTTTATTTTTTATTTTTAGGTATCATTCAAATATTATTTATTTCTTATAAGCAGAACACACTTCCATGTCGCAGTAGAAACCACTCAAACTAACAACTAATTATAAGCTTGAAAATTATTCTAAGAAAGTGGGAGAAGAATTTGAATTTCTTTTTGTACTTGCACACAGTTTTGATGATTTTAATCATTATAATTTACTTTATGATATAATTATGGCATTGCAGCTTAATTCCCTTTGACTCAGTAGTTGAACACCTTGTCCCTTTTCAGTTGGCCCAATGGTCCAGGTTTGGAAAAACTGTTACCAACAAAGCAAATTCCTTTTCAGTTTTAATCTCAAACACCTGAAACAAAAAGGATATAAAACACACACATATATACATAAGGAGAAATTGCTAAGCACTGATTTATTTACTATGCATTCATGAACTTCACCGAACACAAGCTTAAATATTTGGGGAACTATCTAATTAGCACCTGTCCCTAATAATGTTAATGCTATGGATGCCTCGAGTATGAGCAAGCTGAATGATGCACTGCCCCACAATGCTTGTAGCCCCATTTTGCACAATAGAATCTCCTGTTTGTGGATAGAATATTTTTTAATCAGAACTGAAGTGGGTGAAGAATAATAAATTGCACTTTCAATAATTGGCAGTACCTGCTTTTAGATTGCCAAAGTCCTCAAGCATTCTTAGAGCACTCAGAGGATTAACAGTAGCTGTGGCAGCATATTCCATTGGCGTACTTTTATCAATCTTGTGCCAGACACTCTGCTCTTTCACGATATATGTCTGCCACGTCCCTAAGAATAATGAGTTTTGTTAAATTCTATCAGTGTTTGGATGAAACACTTATTATGTGCTGTCACAGGAAATTGTGGTACCGCAATGTCCTTTAATAAATCCGTTTTCTTAATAATCTAGAGTCGATGAAAATATTTAAGGCAAGAAAATTCTTCAGCTATGAAATCATTCTTGGGCCTTACCGGAAATGCTCATCTCTTTCACAAGTCACACCTTGACCATTGACGGTAAGTCGGGGATAGACTTCTATGGTCCTCTTCCTCAATTTTCCCACGTGGGTTTCAAATGCAAAAATTTTTTATCCACAATTTAGCTCAACAAAACAATAAACAGCAATCCCATGTTGCCAATTTGCTATAATTATGATTACCATTTTATGAAATTTGAAATTTGGAGTTCCAATAAGCATTAAGTTTGAGAAGGTACAAATATGAAAGACCAAAACAGCTTCAATAATAAAAAAGCGACTTAACAACATAAAAAATAAACCAATAAAAACGTACCAAATGAAGGCGGAGATGGAATGACCCAATCACCAGGTGCAAGGCCTGTAACTGCAGAGCCCAGAGAGTGTACTTCTCCAACCCCTTCATATCCTCCAACTGCTGGCACTTGCGGCCTCACAGGGTACACGCCTAAAATATGATTTACAAATGAGTTAAATTTGCACATAGAAATCACACAAACTTGTGTGTTTTCACACAAGTGCGTATGTGATTGTGCATGAATGTGCATACATGTGAATATGAATGTATGCATCAGCAAACTTATAGCATCTGATTTCCCAACGAGAAAATGGAGGAAAATTAAAGAAAACAAATATCAGTATTTTTTTAAAATAAATAAATAAAAAATACACAAATCAACTAAGCCAAATACTAGAGACAAGCTCAGATAAGTAAACTTTTTGTGCATCTCGTGCATCAGACAATGTATTTTCTCAGCATTTCAGCAACCAAACAGAACCCGTCCTTATCCTCCTCAAATTTAAACAAACTATTATAAAATAAGTAAACAGTAAATATGAATATGAATTTTATAAAACATACTAACCCACAAGAGACAATTTATGATTAAAATGAGAATCAACAGTACCTTCGATTCTATTAATATCAGAGGGATTGATCGGAGCAGCGAGCATTTTGACACACACATCTTTTTCTTTGATTTCTACGGGTGGAACCTCAATTACTCTGCAAAGTGTTGACAGTGAAGCTATAACTAAGTACAATTTACAATTCAGGTGGAGATCGAGATAGAGATGAACCTAACGACGGCGTCAGGAGGTCCTTGGTTCTCGTAGACCACCGCCGTGGAAGGCGGCGACATTGTGGCAGAGAAAGCTCGGATTGTAGAGAATTGAGTAAGAGGGCGGAGGGATTGTGTGAGGTTGAAGAGCGACGATGTTGATCCATGTAGAGCTTTTAGGGTTACTAACCTCACTGACGCCATTAACCAGAATCCTCTCTCTCTAATCTGCTGTATCGTCTGGAACAGTATCACTGAGTTTCTGTTTTTTCTTTTTTGCCCCGAATATAAAGCAATTTGATGGAGTATATATGAAACACATGCACGTAGCCCATAAAAATAGGCCCAAGTAGCATACATGGTGTGAAATGACAGAAAACATATTTGGGCCAAGGTTGCTCATACTGCTAACAAAAACAAGGTGGTAACAGGCCCATTAAAAAGGCCAGACCAAAATAAAGAAGAGTTGTCTTACCATCGCATAGGAATTAGAGGTAGGCATACATATTGGAATTCGTTCTAGCAATTGGAATGTGGATTGAAGATTTATTCTCTCGTAATTTATTAACAAAATAAATTAAATATAAATAGCTTCCAAATACATGGTTGATAGGGATTCGAGAGGTAAGTCTTTGAAATCTCGTTTTCAAACCGTACTTTTTAAATAAAATAGTGTGTATGTTGTGGTGTCGTACAAGTACTATAATATATATATATATTATGTGTAATTTTGTTCCAACAATAATTTGATTTGATGTAATATATTATATAATATGTTAAACATTTATATTCTAATGCTTTAATATAAAATATTTGCAAATTATCAAAAATAAGATATTATTTTCTCTTCTTTTTTCTTGTCTTTATTTTTCCCTTACTCCTAAGCGTTTATTTATTTATTTATTTTTTAACAAAAAGTCTAATTTTTTTATTCTTTTTCTTTCATAATTTAATTACTTACCTTCAACTATCTTTCATTTTTATTAAAATTATTGTTTGCCAATCGCTTTTGACATTAATTTCATTTACAACAAAACACAAAAACAAAAATTATGCAAATTGGATTATTCGTAAGATTGAATTCATTCCTAAGATTACCTGTCAGATTGAAATAAAATTGGATTTAGTTTAAAATAAAATTGAAATTGAATTCATTCCTAAGATTACCTGTTGGGTAGTTGGATTTAGAAAATAGCCTTGTCAGATTTAAATGCGGAGTATATATTTCCAGACTAGCTCTGCCACTTATTACACTGTACTCCACATTCTATGAAGTTATTCCTATCCTAGGATTCTTAAACTTAGGCTGATAGCCTACGGCGAGGCTTGGATGTCCTTCATTCTCACCCTAGGAACATTTGAGTGGTTCACATTTTCTCTTCACCACCTCAACACAGAGTTACGCCTATCCTATCTGTAGCTGATCTATCGTATATACATAAACAATATTATTTATAAACATAGATTTATATAGTAGACTTTGCTTTTCACAGTCCAATTATATGCGTAGACTGTAGAGAGAAAACAAAGAGAGGATAGTGCAGTGGTCGGTGGTGATGATAGTGACGGTAGTGGAAGTGGTGGTGGGTGAAGGTGGGTGAAGGCGAGGAAGAAATAAAAATAAATTATATAATGTGGACAAAAATGTCATTTTAGGTATGCAGATATTTTTAATTTATATATTATTATAATACTGGGAGCATAATAGACATTTCACATAGTACATTTTTTAATTTCTTTTTGACACCGACCAATCGTCGAAAATATCAACAATCCATGATTACGCTAACCTCTCTGCTTGTCGGGAAAAGGCAAAAATACGTACCGTTAAAACGACCGTTAACTATTCAAGTCAGAAGACAAACGCCCTTTAATTGACGGCGTCATATACTTCCTTGATTTTCAAAAAAATCCTACAGGAGCCACGTGGCACGCGCTAGGTCAAGAGGGATCGATCCAGATTCGGCGCACAAGCTCGGAGCTTCTGGCTTTAGATTTTGTCCACCCTGGACAATCCAATGGCTAGCTCTCTGTCCACGCAGGACGACCTCAACGTTGGATGTGAAGTCAGAGGCTCTGCGAGCCTCCACTTGTTACACGTCAACAATCTCTCCCAAAAAAATATCCCACCTCTGTCCCTCTCTTACTTTCTCTCTCTACTATGTATAATCTTTTAGCTTCGGAAATTCTAAACCAGTCAAGCTTTTTCTGCAATAGGAGGAGAAAATTTGAAACGGTTCAGACTCGTGTATCGATGTTAAAACTTTGCTTCGAAGTTATTGATTTTAGACTCGAATGTTTCTGATCTAGTGTTGTCAAGCTTGATCGAGCTCGTTCATTTAAAGGTTTTTACTCGATTTCAGATCTTTAAATAATTATGTGATTAGATCTTTGTGTTTCTGTGCGTGTGTATATATATATTCTCAGATGTTTTTGTATGTATGTGTGTATATATATCTATGTACTTACCCTCTCACATGTACTGATATACCATTTCATGGAGGTTGATTTTCTTTTTAAAAATAATTATGCAGTGTATATAAGTATAATATGTATATATAATTTCATAAATACTGGTTTCCTGATTTATGGCTAAAGTGTTATTATTGACTTGACATATTTATATATGTATTTTTTTTTTTGGTAAGGTTTATATATGTATTTCATCCTATGAAGATCTATATTTTGTTTTTTGGTGAAAGTATAGAAATCCAAATTAACTTTTTGTTGCAATACACACTCACACTCCTCAATAATGGAAGGATCTTTTTGAGTTGGTTCACCTTTAGTCTTGCATACGAGTAACGAGTTTGTCTCTGTTTTGAGTAATTATAAAGGAAAAAGTTCTCCTAATTCTGCTCTGTTGATTATAAAATTAAATTAGTCTTTTTTTTTTTTTTTTTGAGCTGTTTCGATTCTTCGAACGTATTATGATAGTTGAGTGTGATCTGGTTTGTGTGGTATAATTGTATTACTGTTTTTTTTTCTCTTCAATATGCTTAAATAATGATTATTTTTCATCATTATAATTAGGATTGGAATTGGATTGAAATATTTGTGTTTGCAGAGGTTGATTTCTGAAGAGAGAATTTTTTTCTTGTACCAGTCCAATTTCGTGCATTTCCTTACCGCGGGTATATCTGAATCTGGTTGATGGGGCCTGTTCCAATAAACAATGATGTTGCCAGTGATACGGATTTGGCAGGATGGAGTAATTGCTCATGGGACGGGAAAAAGGTCGTTAGGAATGTAGTTGAGGGTGAGGTGCGAGGCTTTGGTTCATCTGAGGAAGATGAGTTGAGGACTAAAAATGGATCAGAAGGGGTAATTCAGGTCTCTGCTGGTGTGCAAAAATCGGGATCTCAAGGTCCTCTAGTACATTGGGAGAGGTTTTTGCCGTTTAGGTCTCTGAAGGTTTTGCTGGTGGAAAATGATGATTGTACTCGTCATGTTGTCAGTGCTCTACTTCGTAACTGCAGTTATGAAGGTTAGTAGCATGTTTTCGATTGGAATGATTGGATGAATTATCTTCATTTTTTGTATGATGACCAACATATGAATGTATCTCTGTACTTAATAAATGTGTTTTGGTGAACTAGGATAGTTTTGATTGTGATTAATTCTTGAATCATTACCCCTTTTAGATCTACTATATCGAATCAATACATTCAGGTTTTAAAATTTTAATTCCAAATTAAACTGTACTTCTTAAATGCTGAAACTTAAATACTAAAAATGAGCAAGCCAGTCACTTAGAAATAAAACTGCAAATCTCCTGTGTGCTATAGCAACTTTAAATTCAAGAGCTGCTTCAAATTGCCCTTTTTTTTTTGGGTCTGTATAATACATTGAAACTGTACTGTTTTATATACTTTGTTACTGTATAAAATACAGCTCCTATTCATACCATCCTCCTCCCCTTTATGTGTTTTAACTCTTCAATGTGATCTTGGCAGTTACTGCTGTTGCAAATGGTCTGCAAGCATGGAAAATCTTAGAAGATTTGACTAATCATATTGATCTAGTCCTAACTGAGGTAGTCATGCCTTTCTTCTCTGGAATTGGTCTTTTATGCAAGATAATGAGCCACAAAACTTTCAAGAATATTCCTGTGATTAGTAAGTCTCATTTTAAAGTGCTTCCATACTGGTTTCCATAAAAAGTAAGTCGTTTTTTCCATTATTCAATCTGACTTGATGATTTTTACTAACATGCATGATGAACTTTCTTTGCAGTGATGTCATCACATGATCCTATGAATTTAGTATTCAAGTGTTTGTCAAAGGGTGCTGTTGATTTTCTAGTGAAACCGATTCGAAAAAATGAACTTAAAAACCTTTGGCAGCATGTTTGGAGGAGATGTCACAGTGTAAGTTGGCTATACCTTGCTTTTATTCATGTGATTATATGTCATTAATCAAATGTAGATTTCACCTGAGGTCAATAGTAGTACGAACTGGCAAATGGTTATGGGCAGGCTTCTCTAACATTACCCTCTTCTTGAGAAGTTTTAATTCACTTGGATTTGCAAGCCTGATGTCTATGTGATTTTGTATCTCATGTTTGATTAGCCATTTTTTTTGACTCTGGGACAATCAATGTTCAAATTCCCTCAATCTTGGATTAATTTCTCATCTTTCCTCAGTCTAGTGGTAGCGGGAGTGAAAGTGGCACACAGACAACAAGATCTGCAAAGTCAAAAAGTAATGAGTCTGAAAAGGACACTGGCAGCAGTGATGAGCGTGATAACGGGAGTATAGGTCTTTGTATTCGGGATGGAAGTGACAATGGAAGTGGCACTCAGGTAACAATAACCTTCGAATTGACATTTCTAGATCTTGTTTAATGTTAGCCTTCTAGCTAATATTCTTCCGTGACTAGCGTAGAATTGTGGACTTAACTAGAGGTTTCATACTGCATACGATTGGTTATTATGTTTAATGTTCTCCCACGTCCATTAAGGATTTAACTGAAAGATTTCCAATTAAAACTGAAATTGCTCGTTAATTTAGGTTTATATCTCTGAATGTGCTTTGTTCTAAAAACTAGGGATCTTGAAAGAGCTGGCGGTGTTATGGTTTTCATGTCTTCCTAAAGAGTAGTAGTTTCGGTAAGTTGGTTTTCAGTTGCACGAACAATATGGCCGAGTATTCAGCACTGTAGATTGGTTCCGAACTTGCAATATTGGCAGGGATGCAAAAGCTCCCCGTGTTGCAAGTGGGTGGGTGTTGCATTCAGGGCTGGTGTTAAAGATCTGTCTTTTATACTCCTAGCTATGAAACCAAAATACTGATATCTTGGCAGCATTCGGGGTAACTCAATTTAAAACATTTATACAGGGAAACATGTGATAAAAACAAGAATGGAAGTTTTTTACCTTTCAGGCTTTCACAACAGTGTGTATGAATGATTTTCATCACAAAATTGAGCTTAAAAAGGGATTCAGAAGCTAGAATGGACTGGTTCACTGCAGAAATGTACCTTAATAGAGTAGCACTCGGAACGATTACCAGTCTACCATCTTGAGCAACTCGAGCTTAAAATATGACGTAATCTGATTTTTGATGAGCTTTTATATATCTTTTCGGAAGTTGTTGATTTTAATGTATCGTCAATTCTATTATGTCTTGAATGGATAAAGATGCTAAAGCTAGAAATAAGCAGGTGAAGAAGCACCAACTATAATTGCTATTAAAAAAATGCTAATGCTCCTATTTGCAGAGTTCTTGGACAAAACGAGCAGCTGAAGTTGAAAGTCCACGGCCAATATCACCATGGGATCAATTGGCTGATGTTCCTGATAGCACTTGTGCCCAAGTCAATCGTACGGAGACTGAAACATTGAGCAGCAGGTGGGTGCATGTTACAGAAACAAAACAGTGCCTAGAGCAGGATAAACAACTTGGTGAGCACCAAAAATACCCATTAATTTTATTGAAAGAATCCATTAATTTATGGCTTACAGATTTCTTGCATTCCAACTCCTGTGCATTTCATATTTTAGACAAAGTTGCAATGGGCAAAGACTTGGAAATAGGCATGTGTAGAGATCCAGATTCACAATTAGAGTACCATAAGTTTTCAACGCAACCTGGCAGCAAAAGGCAGGATAAGTTATCCAGAGTAGACAGTAAGGTGTTGGAGAAAGAGCAGTTGGAAAACGAAAGCGAGAATATAAGTGGCAAACTAAGGGACTATGCTGCGAATCTAATATGTGCTGTGGGAAGTTGTACAGACCAACAGGTGGAGAGCAGAGACATTGATGCTTCCAGTGGGCTTCCTGATACCTCACAAATCAAAGATAAAGCTAGCAGTGATTCTAGAGAATTGCCATCTCTTGAGCTAACTTTAGAAAGGATGAAAAGAGGAGATATAGGCACCAGTGCGCATGACAATCACAATGTTTTGAGACATTCAAACCTGTCAGCATTTTCAAAGTAAGGGGAAAACTTGTGAATGTAGAGTCTATGTTTAAGCGATGTAAATACACTCCAAATAACATTTTTTTTCTTTGACTTTGCAGATATTACACTGTTTCTTCTGCTAATCAGGTAATCTTTAGCACCTTAGACAGTACTTAATGTGACTTACATTGATAGGTAACAGGTTGGTTGTATTAAACAATATTTATTATAGAGGAGCCAAACTCCATCAGTGAACTCCAAATTGCAATGCAGAAGAGGAATGCTATTGTTCTGACGGGAAAAAAAGAAAAAAAAATTAAAAGAAGTACCAGCGAACAGCTAATATGCTTCTATCCTTTTGCCATAAGACAGCAGCATTCTTCTGTATTATGATATGACGTACATTGATGGGTAACATCTTGGTTATAACAGTGATTGGACAATAGTTATTGTCGAGGCGGCAAACCCTATTGCTATGCTGGTTAATACTATCTCTACTGTTTATCAGGCTCCGACCGGGAATGTAGGTAGCTGTTCTCCACTGGATAACAGCTCAGTTGCAGTAAAGACAGAAAGAATGCACAGTTTGAATTGCAATCCTACTCATCAGCAGTCGAACGGGTCTAGCAACAATAATGATACGGCCTCCACCACTAAATATGTTCACAAGCATGAAGCTTTCAGTGACAAGACAGAATCCATATCAGCATTTAAGTGTTCCAATACCTCCATGTTCCAAACTGCACAGAATGGTCGTATTTGTGCAGAGAAACCAATACATGTGAGGACAGTTGATGAGGCAGTCGGCACAGATCAAGCACAAGAAAGAGGATCAAACAAGCGGATTAAAGTGCAGCACCACCATCACCACTACCACCATTACCACCACCACGTCCACAACATGCAGCATCAGCCAGAGTCAGATCATGATGATCTCTCACTCAAGATGGCAGCAGCTGCTCCACAATGTGGATCATCGAATATGCTTGGAGGGCCCACTGAAGGTAGTGCTGGAAATTACAGTTTCAATAAGAGTGCTTCAGGGAGTAATCATGGGAGCAATGGGCAGAATGGTAGCACAGCTTTAAATGCTGGAGTGGCAAACATAGGAAGTGACAATGGTGTAGCTGAGAACAGTGGAATCGTTGGCATTAGTGGGAGTGGGAGAATCAGTGGGAATGAAGCTGATGAAGATCGACTTGCACAAAGAGAAGCTGTCTTGACCAAATTTCGTCAGAAAAGGAAAGAGAGATGCTTTGGAAAGAAGGTAACTGGCTTTAGTTGCATGTTTTTGCTAAAGAACATCAGAAATTCAGTTTACATTGTCCTATACTGGTAGAGTATTGGCAACTCACACAATATGAGGAAAGTATCAAACTTCACCCTTGGGGCTAGAAGTTGTCAAAATCACACTCAGAACCTATTCCAATATATATATATATATATATATCTTTAACAGCCAAATAAACTCTCTGCCATCATATTGTAGTAGTTACTAGTTGGATTGCAAAGAAGATCATATATATATATATATATATATATATATATATATATATATATTGTAGTAGTTATATATATATATGATCTTTGCAATCCAACTAGTAACTATTACAATATGATGGCAGAGAGTTTAATTGGCTGTTAAAAGATGCAAAAAAAAAGTGAGAATCTGAATTGACCACACCAGATCTTACCCTATTGTTCAGTTACTGGAATGTCGCATGGGTTGGCTTGAACTTCCAACGTCTTACACTTGGGTCACTTGGGAAGTCTCCAGATTCGTCTTGATTAATAAGTCATGGCAACACTATGATTTAGTCTTTTTTTAATGAATTGGCAATTTCTTTATTATTCTATTTAAATTTAACTTGCCACTGGAAATGTGGAAAGGTCTTTAAACTGTCTGCTATTATTGAGACCAGCCTTATGATTTGTACTGAACCAGGGAGGATGTGGATCATGTAGTTTAATAGTTCTGTTAAAGAATTTTTTTTCTCGTCAACCATTCTCAACTTGCTGCCAAACTTACTCTACTTCATAGCCATATGATTATTATACCAAAACTCTGGGGGCTTTGACCTATAATGTTCTTAAATTAAATAATTTGTTCTAGCTCTTGTTATCTTTGTGCTTCCTATAAATAATTTATTGTTAAAGAATTTAACAGAAGTGAGTCTACTTTGTATTTGTTTCTTCTCAGGTCCGATACCAAAGTAGGAAAAGGCTGGCAGAACAGAGGCCTCGTGTGAGGGGACAGTTTGTGCGACCAACAGGGTATAACACAAGCTGCATTGTAGATTGCATTTCGATTTGTGCTTTCTGAGTGTATACATTGCGACTCAACATAACTAGTCCTTACTTGTGATTTCTTTTCCAGGTCCGATACCACAGCAGGAAAAGACAGCAGGCAGGATAACATCATGTCCGAGGAGGGACTCTCCTAACAACGGACAATTACACTAGACGGGATTCAGATCTGCTTCTCCTGTCCATGTACCTGATAGTGCATATGGATAAGTGTACATGAGATTAGCACTGGTTGTGCATGTGGTTATGTGATGGAGTATTTAGGTTTACCTAGAAATGTGTGAAATTAGGTATGTGTAACTTGTGTTTAAAAGATTGATAACGAAACCCTTGATGTGTAAACTCTATGGGGGGAGTGGTTACTCTTAAAAAAACGTCCCTCCCTCTTGCTACAACTGTCATGTTGTATTTTTATATGAAAGCCTTTTTGATAAAATGGTCCAATAATAGAAAATGTTTAATACACTTGGAGTTTCGATTCTTTTGAATCCTAACTTTTCATTCGCTAATAGCTCCAAGTGCTGATCAGCTCGTACCATTAAACTTAGTTCAATGGCATCTAAGTACTCATTTTGAATCTCTCAAGCTTGGGATTGAAGGCAACTTTTGTAAACAATTGATTATACGGGAAATGACTCAGAATACATTATGAGAATAATAGAACTTTTATGGAGTAAATTCAAACTTCCTCTAATAGTTACGCTATTCATGGACTTGAATACTTGATACTCTCCCTCACACACACACACACACAATCACACCATGAGTCGTTTTACGTTGGTTTGGTTTTGACTCTTAGTTCAAGAACTCCTCAGTGAAATTATAGGTTGGCTTGATTCTGATCAATCAGAAGACTCCATCCATACAACTGAATTGGGAATTTTATTCACTTAATAATTTTTTCATTCAAACACCGAGTCTAACTAAATACTCGATCGGACCAGATGATTTTGAATTACTTAATAATTTTCTCATTCAAACATTGAGCGAGCATACTCTAAAAAAAATCTTAAAAATTAAAAAAAAAAAAAATTATTTTCAGATAATTATAATAGGTATAATCATTTCACCCATGTTTACAATGTATGTATGTATATATATATATACACACACACATATATACAATGCCACCCTCCAAAACACAACTCTTTCGTATTACTGAATATCCAAAACACAGCTTTTTCTAAACATGGCCGTCGATCAATCACACTTTTTGGTACCACTAAATATCCAAAACATAACTTTTTTTAAACATGACCGTCGATCAATCACACTTTTTCATACTACTAAATATCCAAAACACAACTTTTTTCAAATATGACAGCCGATCACCGATCAATTACACTTTTTTGTACCAATATTCAAAACACAGTTTTTTCTAAACATGAAATCACAGTTTTTTCTAAACACAGTTTTGGAGGGTGGCTGATTGTGGTAGGTACCATTGAAGTAAGGTGATAGGACTGTGTACATTAATAGTAGTAATGCTTTAAACCTTGAGAGTCAACTGTTTCCTAACTTTCCTGACATGTAATGAATGGGTATATTTCGAAACCGCGTAATTTCAGCTCTTAATTACTAGTCACATCTTCCTTCCACTTTTCAATCAATTGGGCATCTTTCTACGTTAGAATCGCATTGAAATATTCTCCCTTCTTCCACCGCCTGCATCATCTGCTGAAAATTTTCATGTTCGATCAAGTAGTGTGATAGTGCTTGTCCACGTACTTATATACGATTTTGGTAAATATTGTTAAACATTCATTACTTTAACCTTTTTTTGAAATCTTTTGATGAAAAAAAAAAAAAAAAAAAAAAAAAAGAAAGAACTTTGACACCCAAAAAGGACGTCACTTTTTAAAAATTGTGACTCACAAAATTTGATAGGACTATGTTAAACATTTTGATGTTTAACACAAAATTCATCATCTGCTGAAAATTTTGATGTTCTACTAGGATGATAGTGCTTGTCCACATACTTATATAAGATTTTGTTAATTATGCACAAGTTATTGTTAAACGTTCATTACTTAACATTTTTTAAATCTTTTGATCCACCAAAAAAAAGGACGATGACTTTGACAATAAAAAATTAATAATGTCTTATTTTCATACTAGGAAAGGATAATATTTGCATGTAAAGGAATAACAAAATTATCATTTTATAAAATTTAGTTAATGAATATAATTGAGTACACGCGCCAATTTTTAGAGGAGGTTGAAATAATAAACATTGGCCCATATATAGTTTGCCTAAAGAGAGGCAAGTGCAGTGAAGGGTAATTTGATCTCCATGTATTCATGAAGAATGAAAATTAATATATTTTAAATTACCTTCTTCTTTTTTCATAATTGATCTGTAATTACTTTTACCTAAATTGTTTTTTAAGGGATTATTTTTTAGTGTTTACATTTTACTAATTAAGGCTTTCTAAGATATTTTGTACTAAATTAACCTTTAATTAAATATGTTGAAAAAATTTACATCCATGGTTATGTAGAGCCTGATCTAGAGAATTTGTACTTTGAGTTTGATATCATTTATATATATTATTATTCCATTTTAGCTTTCTTTTTTTTTCTTTTTTTTTCTTTTTTGACAATTCCATTTTAACTAGAGTGACTGATAATGTTGTCCCCTCAAGTACACTTACAGTTATTTGTTATCTTTAATGATTCATTGTTAATTAATACTACTACATAACTTTTTCTTTTCTTTTCCAATTAATACGTAACTAACCACATAATTATTCCTTCATAATCACAACCTCCCCCAAAATCAACCACCAACTCCTCCAAATCAACCACCACCACCTACTCATTTTATTCTTCAATCCCCAAGTAATCTAAGAAGTCAAGCACCACCATAGGTCCATAACCCAAACTATCCATGTCTTTAAGGTTTTATCCAAAATTTTAAAAATATTTCAAGTAGTGTCACGCATTTAATGTTGAACCTTTTTCTTGACCTAGCTATGACAAAAAATTCCATGGCACTGTTGGCACACCTTACTATTTGCCGGTAACAATTTGACTTCACAACATGCTTTCCTTAAATTTTAATGTGAAAATTCAATAACTCACTGTAACTAATACAACATTAAGGGATTTCTTACTTATATCTAAAGAATAGTTATGTCATTACTGTAGTTGTTAAAACAGAAAAATGCCATCATCCAACTTAATCCCACTTATTCCCGGTGTTAAATAATAATAAAAAAACTTGAAACATAGTTTTGGCACTATTTTTAAGAATAGTTTCTCTAATTTTGGTTTCAAACTCTCACGGCTGATTCAGTGAATAAGGAAGTACTTAAGATGAATTGTGACTTATTTAGAAGGAGGCTCTGTAGCTGGTGGAGGACAAGGACAAGGACGTAGAGTGAGGGCTAAGACGAAAACGCTCTCCGAAAAACTTTTGAGAGAAACGGACCCTTTACCAAACCCATCGAGAACAAAGACTGCAAGGGCTCGTCTAACGGTCTTGGAGGAGAGTAGTGATTAGGTTTGATTCAAAAGGATAAAAAAATACTGAATTTTGGATTAAATGACATGAGTACGCACATAAGAATTTTTTTATAAAAAAGTTAAGTAGTGATTAGGTTGAAAATCTCCAGAGTAGTATGTGTCAAATGATTTATTTTTTGAGATTAAACTCCATTAAAAATTAAGAAATTGGACATTGAGACACGTGCAGCTTGTGTGTCACCTTATTATTACATGATTATCTTTGCACTAATCATGATTAATAATTTAATCCCTAAACGCACCCAAAATCCGTTATGTATGTTCTCAATCAACTACCGCTAATCCAAGTGTCTCGTTCTAAAAAAATCAACTTTAATTCTATCTTCCTTTCGGTAACAAAGATTGTATTATTGTATAATCAAATGTATTAACCACTTGACACGTGTAAATATGACTATGAACAATTTGTCTTTTTGTGATTGTCAGCTATCTATGTGGCCGAACTTCTATTGGCAGGTCTTTGGCCAACAGTTTGAATAGAGGAGCTTTCTAGATCATTCATTTATAAATATTTATATTTTTTTTGTGTATATGTGTAATACTGTAATGATTTGCTGCACCGACAATTTGGTGAAACGTACGTGCGTGTTTGGAATTTTTTGACACGTTGCAATACCACAGGCAGCTCAGTCTTTTGCTTTGTTGTTTTTTTTTCCCCCTTCAGGCAGCCGAATTGACTTAGTGTACTTATATTTATTTATTTTTTCTTTGTTTTTTTTCTAGACAAAAATGTTAGAGTAAAAATTAGAGATGTCACTAACGGGAGAACAACTCGATCACTGGATTATTGCTTACATATATATATATATATATATTAATTGGTATTTACGTACACATACTTCTAACGAGGCTCAAACTCTTCACTTCTCTTTAAAAAATATGAATTTGGTACCGTTGCTAAGTTAATTTTCATACATAATTTTTGTTATCTAAATCTAGCTAATTATTAAAAATGTGAAATAATTTTAAAAATAATAAAAATCTCATGTTAGCTTGAGAGTGTTGAATCGTCGTTTTGAATTTAAAATTTTAAAAAAATATATTTATTCAGCTTCAAGTTTAGGATTTCCAATTTAAATTAAATTTTCTCTAATTTTATATCTAAGTACTCCTAAACATAGCATCATACTAATTGAGAGTAACTTTTTGTAAAATAGTTTGAAACACGAACAAAAAAATGAAAGAAGAATGTAATGTTTACATAAGATTTATAAATAAAGAGGGAATAAATAAAAAAATAATAATATACTTTTTAACCCTTCATATAATTTATGTCAGGTTAGAAAATTTTATTTTTCAGTTGCTTTATATGAATTTTCTACTTACTTTTTTTCCCTTAATTTTTTCTTCTTAACTTTCATATGCAATCTAGTTTGAAGAGCTAGCAAGTAAAAATTGAAAAAACACCGTTACATAAAAAACTATAAAAAATATCTTTACTATTTAGTATGTGCACATAAATTCCTAACATTTAAAAGTATGTTCAAATTATTTTCTAATATATCGTCGTCAATTTTAACCATTTATATATATATATATATATATGAAACCCCCCAAAGTACCCTTAATAATCTTTCTTTGCTCTCACTCATCCTAAAATTAATGTTTATTTTTATTTTATCTTAACAAGAATGTTAGGTACTTCAATTATTAAATTGACAAAATATTCTTATTTGCTAAATTTAAAAAATGATAGATGGATTTTTATTTTTTATTTTTAATATTAGGGGCATTTGCATATTCGGTGTATAATAATTTTTATTTTTGGGCACTTAAGTCATTTTTAGTAGCATGGTTAATCTAGTAACCCTCACGTGGCATTAATATAAATACATAAAATAAATAGAAAAATGAAGTGTTTTATTTGTTACAAATATAATTATTTTATGTAAAAGTTTCTACTTTCTAGAACCAAAAACGGAATAGAGAAGTCTTTTCAAGTTTGTCTTTATTCATGTAGCAACTAGCAAAGGACTATTCGCGGCATTCAAGGCTTCAAGGAGTTGAACTTTCCACATGAGTGCTTGGATTCGGTATGTTCAAACAAGAAGCTAGAATTTGGATTAATTTATTTAATTCAGCCAAATTTGATTTAAACTCTAGGTGAAGATAAATTTAGAAAAAACAAAGATTGTATGGTAGTAATATTATCTCCTTTATTTTTTAAAAGTGACAGATCAAAGATTTGAGTCTTTATAGAAATAAATTGGTTATATGTGCCACTCTCAAACATAAAAAGGATTAATTAAAAAAATTACTATTAGTTTAAATTATTTAAATTAGAGGCTCCTGAAGAATTATTCCGGTTCAACTTGTTGAAATAATTACTTAAAATATATTTTTATTTCGAATCAATTTTTTAAACTTTAATAAACAAAATTTGATTTAAAAACCCACAAGATGCATCACAAAATTTTTAAGGCATTTTTTGTTTTGTAACTTAAAAATGATTGATTTTTTTTTTTTTTTTTGATATTTTGTAAAAAATGTGTAACAAATTAACAATTAAGCAATATATATATTTGGTAGATTTTTTTTAAAAAGGAAAGAGTTGTTTAACAAGTTTTTTCCAATCCGAATATTGAGCCAAAATTCTGAAAATTCTCTGACCAAAGTGAAATTTGCGTCGGCGTCGTCAACAAAACAGCTGATTTCATGCTCAAGAACACAGGCGCTTCGACAAATGTCAATATCTTATTGGTCAGACTTTCAAAGTCAAAAGGTTTTTGTAATTGCGCTCTTGTCGCCTACGCTCAAACCCACTGGATCGCCCCTGGCACCGTAGATCAGACAAAAAGCGTGTGGGCCAGTGGGTCCCATCTAGTAGGCAACTCTGATACTACTTAATTGAAATCAGATGGTAGTAAACGCGTCTGTCCTATAAAACACAGTTCTTAATCTCACCGGCTGGTAATAAATGGAAAAACTCTGTCAAAGAAACGGACAAAGATCTGCTGCAATGCACTTGTTGTAGATTGACGTACAGCAATTAAAGCACGCCACGTCAAGTCACAGTACGATCCTACAACTGATGGACACCGGAACAAAACCCTAAAAAATATAAGAAATGGAAGCAAATATATATAAAGTCTTTCCATTACCTCTTCTCTCTCTCTCTTAAAATTTGCAAGCGTGTGACTCTCTCTGTGTGTCATGTAACTCTTGTTTGTTTGGTTAGATTTTGTTTTGAGCTTCCAGTTTTCTCAGTAGCTGAGAAAAGAGAAATAGTAGTACTCAGCTACATATAGATATAGGTGATATACTCATATATAGAGAGATAAAGAGGAGAGAGAGAGAGGCATGGGCTGTTTTCCATGCTCTGGAAATTCAGATAAGCGGCCAGAGAAGAAGAAGACGAATAACAACGAAAGTCATCGGAATAAACGAGACGATCAAGCACAACCCACCTCAGGTACAGCCTCTAGAAATGTTCTGGTCATTTTCTTTTATTTTTTGGTGGTTAATTCTGATTTTTTTTTTTATTCTCTTTTCACAAACAATGAACAGTGAATTCAATCTCTATTATTTCGATTAAAAAAAAAAATATTTCTTTTGATTAATTCTTTATGACTTCATGAAATTGATCTGAAAATGAAAATTTAAGCTCTTTGAATGATCTCGTTTTAATTGTGGATTAGTACCCGAGGGTTTATGTTTTTTTTTTTTTTTTTTGGTCTGCTTATTTTATGTTTTTGAGCTTTTCATTTTGTATCTGATTTTACTTTTAATTGGATTTTAAGTCTATCCTTCTGGTGTTTTTTCGAATTCCCCTATTTGTTCCTTTTCTTTCCTTCTTTATTTGTTTTTTTTCACAAATGGTTCTTCATATCCCCTCTCTCCCTCTCTCTCTAGCCTGCCTTTACTATTTACACAAAATTCTTAAATTTTTATCTTGATTGTGAGCCCAATGAACAGGGAAAGGCTAAATCATGATTTGAATGATATGGAATTATATATGTGTGTGTTTGTGTGTGCTCTATAGATTTGGGTAAGATGGTTTTCAAGTCAAAGTGCTATCTAGAGTTGTCTGGTTTCTCACCGACTGCGGAAATTATTTTCATTTTTGGTGGAAGAAATTATTTTGTTTTGTTTTGGTGGGGTGCTGATTGATGCGATATAGGCATATTATTTTGGGAAAATGTAATTTAAATTATTTAACTTTCTTCAGCATTTAATTAAATTTGTCCTCTGTGTTTCTTTGTCTGTTTTTTTAGATTTTAACAATTTTGGTTATTATCCTGTTACCCCTTTTGTGAGAATAATATTTGAATCAATCTTTTGGCTTTTACTCTCAGCATGTGCTTTTTATGTCTTTTTCTTTGTTCTTCAAATGGGTCTCATCCCCTCTCTGATATTTATTTTTTATTTATTTCTTTTGGGTGTTTTAAAATACAGATAAATTGAAGGTTAGTCCATATAGAGATGTGAAGGAGTTGAGTGAGAAAGGCACTAAGGTTGTGAATAACTCTTCGCCCCCAAAGGGGCCGGATGTTAGGGAGGAGGTTCCTGAGGTTATAGGCACTGATGACATTAAGGCAAAGACATTTACATTCAACCAATTGGTGGCCGCAACGGAGAATTTTAAATCAAACTACTTTTTGGGTGAGGGAGGCTTCGGTAAAGTTTATAAAGGAATATTGGAGGATACCGGCGAGGTTGGTTGAACTATCTGACATCAACCGTTATTTATGTAAATTTTTGGACTTGCAAGTAGCTACTAGATTATTGTTGTGCAAGTTTATTTCACTCTGAGCATTTCTGTTTGTCGATGCAATATTGCGTCTACGTCCCTCTGGTTGGTTTTTCTTTCCAGAAGTCTTGCTGAGCTCTAAAGCTTCATATCGTGATGATGGTGAGACCTGATTAATCTTCTTGTTATTGTGCAGATTGTAGCTATTAAGCAACTTGACCGAAATGGATTGCAAGGGATTAGGGAATTTGTGGTTGAAGTATTGACATTAAGTTTAGCCGACCACCCTAATCTTGTTAAATTAATTGGTTATTGTGCCGAGGGCACCCAAAGGCTGTTGGTCTATGAGTTCATGCCATTAGGATCGTTGGAAGACCATTTGCATGGTATATTGTTTACTATAACACTTGAGCTCATTTTTCTTTCCGTCTTCACCTCATTATCATTATTTTGATTTTTGCTTGTTTCCCATTTGTTCCATCCTCTGAGAAATTACGTTTTTGTCTTTCTTTTTTTGTTTATGCATTTTCCTTGCTTCTCTTTTTCTTGCACAGACCTTCGACCTAATAGAAAACGACTTGATTGGAATACTAGAATGAAGATAGCAGCTGGTGCTGCGAGGGGCTTAGAATATTTGCATGACAAGATGAATCCCCCAGTTATATACCGTGATTTGAAATGCTCTAACATTCTGCTTGGCGAGGGCTATCATCCCAAACTATCTGATTTTGGCTTGGCCAAAGTAGGTCCTGTTGGAGATAAAACCCATGTCTCTACCAGAGTGATGGGTACATATGGGTACTGTGCACCGGATTATGCAATGACTGGTCAGCTGAATTTTAAGTCAGATATTTACAGCTTTGGGGTTGTTCTTTTGGAGATCATCACGGGCAGGAAAGCGATTGACAATACAAGATCTGCTGCTGAGCAAAATCTGGTTGCGTGGGTAAGACCCCTTTACTTCCCACATTTTCGTGCTTATATATATTTGTTGGTTATGCCTGCATAAGAATTGGTCATCTTAGTTGATACATTAGTTTGCAAGTTATGTCTTAGAAACTTTGAAGGTAAGGAATCGTCTTTTGCAAACCTTAAGTCTCTTATTCTTCGCTCTCTTTTCTGTTATGTTAGAGGCAGCGCTTGCTCCTCGATTGATGATTTTTTTGTTCTATTGGACTCTGTTGGTCCGTAGTATTGGCTTTTGCTCTTTCGTTTTTGTGTATTAGGGACACGTTCCCCTTTTAAACGTTTTTCTAATATATATTTTTACTTATCAAAAAAAAAACTATGCAAGTTATGTCTTATCAATATGAAATAACTTTAGTTGTTATCTTTTGTGTAAACCACTTTTCTTAGTGTATAGTAATTGGGAATTCTCCACCGGGCAGTAAAAGGTTCATGTTTGATGGAATTGATGTTTATTAGTTGGAATCAGCTTTTGTTTTGTGGCCTGTCTGAGTGAATGATTGACAATCTGAGCCTTCCACTTCGATTGTGATGTTTTTGCAGTTTGGGCCATACAAATGGCTCTATTAATTGAGCAGCCTTGGTTGATTAGAGTCCAGGGGCCACATGCAAAGTATCCAATGTTTTGTACCATATTTCTTTTTGTTAACACCAGCTCATGCTTTTGCTTTTTCATTTTTTTTTAATAATTTATCTAAAATTAATAACACTGTTTTTAAACATTAAGCATCACTCATGTCAATGAATTTCAATTCTTGTAAATGGGGAACCATTTGTTAGTTTCATTAGGCCTGTTTGGAAACATTACCATGTTACTTTACTCTTTTTGTTCGTAAGAACTCCTCGGTCACTTCATTATTCTGCTATCTGGATACAAGATTTTTTTTTTTTAGTAAATAATTTTTTTTTTTTTTTTTTAGTAAATAAAATTTTATAACCAATAAGAAAAGACTTCAAGTAAAATTTAGATACAGGAATATTCATGATGCACAAACATAACATTTCTAGAATTGAGGTTTTGCAAAGTAGGTTTGCATTGAAGGAGAAAAATGGAAAGTGAAATAAAATCTTGAATTTAGTTGAAGAAGGGAGAAAATGAAAACGAATAGAGCAATTTTTAAATCACCACCACTGATAGAAAATCTAAATTTTATCTATTGAGTTTTTATTTTTATTTGCTGCTGAGGAAAAGCTCAAATATGAGTAAGTTTATAAATAACTAGGATATCTGGCGGCCCTTGGGATATATAACTAAACCTATGACCGAATTTCTGAGTTATCCCTAATTTTTAGTATATTCTACAGATTTCTCGAAGATGGTGGAATGTAGGATTCATCCCCAATTATCTGATTTGGCATCAGTAAATCTGTGTGCTAAAGTATCACTTGCATAAACCAGAGTTGAAGCACCGCAAATCTCCAGCCTTGAACAAGGTTGTGTCCTGAACTGGTCAGAACTTCCTTGTAAACCAAGACTTTCATGACCTCCACATTGCGCAGAAAGTTAGAAACAACTGAATTAACTTTTAAAACACTTATTACAACAAAGTTGCACATTACTTTGAGGTGAATTATTCTATGTAGCTTGAAGATGAATCGTGATTTAATTTCTTGACTTTGTACCCAAACTGCTCATGATTCTCTAAAAATAAGATATGGGATTCATATGCACATATTTGTGAAAGTATATAGTGGCTACATCACATGTATCAAAGGAGTGAACTTGGAAATATAATGACCTCTTAGAGGTCTTGCAGGCAACAAATAAAATCCAAATCATGTCTTTCCAGGGCCAGTTGAGTCATCCCAACTAGAAATCCTTGTCTTTTCTATCATGCTTAATCTTGTGCTAGATGTTGCGCGTTCTCGGTTAAGGCATGCATGTGAAGTGATTGTTATTCAATTCCCTTACTAGTTTATATCACTATTAGAATTAAGACACCTTGCATCATTGACTGATGCTAGAATATATAAGTTTACCTGTCACACACACACAGAGATATATAGGTACATTAAAACTGTATTTTTGAATTGAAAATATACTTTGAAGGCCATTTTTTTTTTTTTTCTCTCTTTTTATTAATAGCTATTTGAGAATGAAACAGAGTAAAGAGATAAGAAGAGTTACCTAAATGTGATTTATGTTGAGCTGATGTATGCACATCTCATGGACTTGTTTGCAGGCACGACCCTTGTTCAAGGACCGGAGGAAATTCTCACTGATGGCTGACCCAGCACTCCAGGGTGAGTTTCCGACGAGAGGGTTGTACCAAGCTCTTGCCATTGCTGCAATGTGCGTCCAGGAGCAACCTAACATGCGGCCCCTTATAGCTGATGTCGTTACGGCTTTAAACTACCTTGCTTCCCATAAATATGATCCTCAAGCCCATCCTGCTCAAGGCTCTCATAAGGACCATTCTTTGCATAAAACAAAAAGGGACGATGAGCAGAAACTAGCTGCTCCTAATGGGCAGGAGAGAACCAAGCTGGAAGACTAATTTAAGCGGTCAATGCCTTTTTGTTGCACTTCACTTTGCGTGCCTGGTTATCGGTTTTTGTATGCCAGAAGATAACAGGTGCTGCTTCCATCCATAATCTTTTATAGATATTACAGGGAAATTCTGGCATTCCTCTTCTTTTTCTTCCGGTGTAAATGTGAGCTGTATGGTTCATACATGTGAGATACCTCTTTGTAGGAGCAAAGGTCCTTTATAATAGTTCAGTTCTCATTTCTCAATAAACAAAGACTTCCCTTCCTGTCTTCCTGATAAATTACTACTGTTTCCATATTTTTTCTTAACAAATTCAGCTTATACGTTTACAGACATTCAATGTGTTCATGGAGAATCAGAGGTGTTTTTACTGTAAATGTAACAAGTGAACCGAGTGTGAGAACATGTTTCTTCCTGTAGCTACCAGAAAAAGCTAAATAAAAATTTGGAATAAAATATATCCTAAGTTTACAGGCTTAGCATAAAGCTAAATGAACACAGTTGCAGGTTACTTGGAAGGGTGAGCCTTGGCGCAACGGTGAGGTTACCGGTACGAAACAAGAAAACAGGCTCTCCGTATGCGAAGGTAAGGCTGCATACATTTGATCCTCTACAGACGTCGCAATGGCAGAGTCTCGTGTACTGGGTTTGCCTTTTTTTTTTGTTTTTTTTTTCGGTTGTAGGTTACTTGGGGGACTCCAACTTATGTGCTGTGTATTTGCTTGGACACACGGCTAAAACAAGGCTTCATTTATGTTTGGCAGGTACGCTTAACAAGGTGGTCAGAAGATGTCCAGAACAGCTTGGTTTATGATGATCACACCCCCGCTCTTGAATTTGACACCAACCCTCTTCCCTTTCTGGAGTCACAAAATGTGGAATATAATTAAACTTGTCAAGTTGAATTTAGACTGTTGTAAAAAGTAGTTAAACCAAACATTGTTATAACTTAGATTTGCCAGTTCATGAAAGGAGGAAACATTTATTCATTCTAGTAATTGGTTTCAATTTTCTAGGAAGTCAAGAAAGCATGCCCAAAATCTCAAAATTGTAGAGGGGCATTTATGTCATTTAAGATTAAAGATATTTTGTATAAAAAATTTGAGGATAAAATGGTCAATTCGCATGTGTTTGAGGCCAAAAAATAAATTAGGTTGTAAGTAAAAGTTAAAACTAAAATCTTCGTCTAGTTAAAAAATAACGTAATCTCGACGGATAGCTGTGTAATTTACCCTCAAATTTTTGCACTAATCAAATTCAAAAATTATAACCGCGTGCCATAAAATGTCGCGGGCACTAACATCATCTTTATTTAACATTTCTTGTAAAGAATAATAATAATAATAATAATAATAAAAGGATTTACTAAAAAAAAAATTCTTCACGGATTTACTACATCAAATATGGCTGAAAAGTTATTTTATTTTTTAAGTTATTGTGTATGTATGTATAAGTAGCAACAAATATATGAAGCTGTATTTTTACTCTTCATCTGACTCTGTTGCACTGTATATTCTCATGCTTTCCTTTCTTTCTTTCTGACGCGCCTACTGAATGTAAATATATCTATATATACAGAGAGAGTAGGGAAGACAAAGACGTATAGCTAGAGAGAGAGGAGGACAAAAAGGGACAGAAAATGATGTACTTTGGATAAATCAGGAAAAAAAAAGAAAGCGCGGCTCAAATCCCACATTTGGCCAGACCCCCTTTGCTAACAGTGTTTTTTTTTTTTTCCTTCTCAAATTCTTTTAAGAAGTCTTCAATTTTTAAAAAACAGAGCCATATATTTTTCTCAATTTAAAGATTCTATCCACAGCACGAACACAATGGGTTCTAATATGAGTACCAACCCCTACTAGTCAGCATGGGATGGGCTGCACAAGATATGTTCTTTGAAATGGTCGGTCCCCAATTGAACATTATATATACCAAACGAAAAAGTCTTGGAACATGTTGAAATTCTTAACCAAATTCAGGCCACATTGTGTTGACCATTGCATATTCAATGTGTTAATTTTGAACAATTGGGTAAAAATAAGATTTAAGTGCATTAAAATTCTTGTTTAATTATAATTATTTTTTGATTTTAACGCACTTAAATTTTATTTCAACCCATTTATTCTATTATCATTTAAATGCATTGAAAAATGTTATAAGAAACCGTAACTTTTATGTTTGATTCACTTCTAAATATTTATGAAAGAGTAACAAAAATAAAAATAAATGCCCCGGTACGCCAACAGAGCTAGTGGGAGGAGGAACCTCTAAGTGCTAGACAATCATATTTAGCACTTGGGTGTGGGTTCGATTCTCCTCCAACACTCTAAGTTTTGGACTTAGTACTGTGGGATCGGGGTGAGTTTTTTTTATCAAAAAAAAAAAAAATTATTTTAATAATTTATCACTAGAAGCCTAATATATGTTCTGAAGCACAATTACCAATCCTAGCCGTGTCCTTGAGTCAATACTTAATACTAGTTCTTTTTTTCTTTGGAAAAATTATTATGTGGTTTGAGACTAATGTTTGTAAAAATTATTACAATAAATGGTTTCTGACCAATCACTTGCTAATAGATCAACAAATGTATCAACTTTGTGTTATCTTTATTACTTTTTTTATTTATGTGTTAACATATGATTAGCGGAACCTATGATCCCTAATCATGTAATAATTACTCCATATGTTTATCCTATGGTAAATTATTAGATAATTCCTAATCTATTTAACCCTTGGTGGACTAATTCAGTAATAGTCCGATCACTGTAATATATTAAAATATTCTTGTAAACTCATTTTCTCAATTCCATAATCAATATTTAACTGTTTCACCAAATATACACTTTGAAAATTTATTATATGACCCTGGCCAACTATGAAGCAATACTTCAACAAATGTTTCCAACTTTATGTAATAAATAACACTAAATGCCAATTCCATTAATGCTTCAGTCACCATGCGACCATGAATTAGGCCTTTAACAACACTGGTAGTCAATCAATACTGATGGAGATAGGTACTTGACAGAAATCTGAAAGAGTGTCGGTGTAATTTACGTTACTCTAAAATCTTTATACACGCGCTGTTAAGTTTTTACAAACTTAAACTTGACCAATCATATTAGGCATCAATCATGAAAATATGGTATTGTTACTACATCGTACGACCACCGAGACCAAACCGAGATATGGCTGCTACCACCACTGACGACCACCTTTCATGGTTATCCAAGCCCCTTGCCTGGCCGTCCTGATCGAAAGAGGCCGATGGAAAAGGAAAAGGAAAAAGGACGAAGAAGAAGAGTTACCCGACACCATCATCACTCGTCGCCATCGATGCAGGATGCAGCAGCTCTTCTCACCCAAATTGACTTTCGATGACTTGCTCGATCGATTATTGTGGTGAGTTACCCAACATCAACTAGGTCCAGCCCAATTTTAATTAACCCACATATCCATCTAAATACTCATCCATTTTAGCCAAGATTTAGACCTTTATTAGAATTAGCCTTGGGCCTATCTTACAATCCTGAACCAGACAAAGTCCAGATACTTTTTACCTACTGGACCAGCCCAACTCGACATTCAATCCAATAAGGGAAAATTCAAAAAGAAAGTGAAAAATAAAATTAAGATTTGTTGAAAACTATATTCCAAGGTTAAATAAAAAAAATATAAAAAAGAAGGGGTTTGTTATGTTTTTGTCAAGTTATACGTTTCTAATGTGAATTTAGAGGTGGACAAATAATTCGTGAATTCGAAAATCTGGTCCGATTTGTACGGATCGAATCGAATTGCTACATCCATGGATCGGTAGCGGATTCAAAAAAAACCAAATCCATAGTTCACGGATTGGATCGCGGATTGGACTGGTAAAAATCTGATCCTATCGTGAGTCTGATCCAATCCGATCCGTGAAATTCATATACATATTGTCAAATAATAAATTAGTTAATGATAATTTAATGTAATCTAAGGATGTATTAGTTAATAATTATTTAAATATATGAATTAATATTAATAAATTAAAATTTTATGTGTTAGGTTAGGGTTAAAAGATAAATAAATAATAAATAAGATTACTTATAAAAATAATAATAATAATAGATGATTTACATAAAACCCAATCCGTGTATCTAATTCGATCTGATCCGATTCGTGGAATAATGGATCTGTGGCGGATTGAAATTTCTCTAATCCGTTAGGAACAGATTGAATTAGGATTGATACCTAATTCAATCCGATCCGATCCGTGGCCACTCTCAAATGTGATGTTCTTTTCTTCAATAAGAGTTTCGTAATTTAGTTATACTTTCTCACATTTCAAATGATTGCGAATTTAAGACGTAACAATAATTATCTTGATTGTCGCGTCCCCAATTTAGCATTACCGCAATTTTGTTGCTGAGCAATCCCGTCATATTAAGAAAAATTTGTGAATGAAGAAAACACGACACAAAGGCAATACTTCTAAATAGTCAGGTTGTATAATTGAACAAGTGAAACTCAAACAAGTTGGGCGTAGCCCATTTTATGCAGTGGTTGGCTTCAATTTTCGGTATAAGAATCATTTTTTTGTTTTATTTATTTTTATTTTGTTGATTGTATAGATTGCCGGTCACATATCTACATGTACACGCTGCATGTATTGGTATATATAAATTAATTGTTTCAAAAGGAGGTTATAACTCTATATTTCAGATTAGCAGTGAATGGTCCAAGCATTGGGAGTGCTAAATTAAACTGGATTACGGATCAATTTCTTGATTTGTAAGAACAATCCTCGTGAGTTTTGTTGGTGAAGTTGAAAAGCAAGAAGACAATGTATGATAAATTAATAAGTAAAACTATCATGAGAGTCTTCTTACGACAGGATGTACGTATGAGCTCTTCTTATTTAATCATTTAATTAGACACGGAGAAATCATCATGAGAAAACTCTCATCATAACATTACTCAAAAAATTCTAACAATGCATAATAAACGAATCAGATGATAGAAATCAAATGGTGACGTGCACTTAAAAGCTTTAGGAGGAGAATGTGACATTATAGGAAAGTTGATGCCAAATGTAACAACTAATTAAGTTGCCAATAATTTCATGTACACATTATATTGAAATTGTTTCATTTTCATTTATTGAATTAGTGATTTGATGATGAAAGTAAGCATAACAACTTATAAAGTTGTTAATAATGCGTCGATAACAATTAGACCGTTTAATGTTTTTGAACCTAATTCTAGAATTGTTTGTAACAGTGCTTAATTGTGATCTCCGGTTGAACTATGTGGCCGAGTAACAACTTAATTAAGAAAAATCTGAAGATTATACCAGGGTTGTGAAAGATTTTCAAGAGTAATTTCAACCTTAATCCTCTTCAATTTGGACTAGTGTAATTCAGTTTCTTCATTAACGGTGGGCCCACAGCCTCTCCTCTTGTTCGGAAAAATTAATATTGTATTAAGTGGAATGTTGAACGAATATACTTAATAAGTCATTCATGCAACAGGTAAGAAAATAGATTTATTATATTTGCATATGCTTCAACATTTTAGTGGGTACCTCTGGTAGATTTTAGAGTAACAGATTTTGACTATTTCTACTTACTAATCTAACTTCTAACACTTTTTACCTTCTAAAAAAATTATTATATTTAATATTAACCAATTAAAATTTAAAAGTATTGAATTAAGAAATTTTGTCCAACTCCTCAACTCTAAAATTAATTTTTATAAATAAATAAATAAACTTTTGAGTCTAAATCCAAAGACACTATTCAAATTCATATAATAAAAGAGTTGTGAGTGTGTGTTTTTAGCCCATGAAAAAAAAAAAAAAAAAAATTGTTGCGACGGTATCGCTCTTTTCCTTGTCACGTGCGTAAACTTTCGCGCCATAAATTCGTTTGGAAGCTCAATTAAATATTATATCGGCAGTTCGTATGCACAAACCCTAATTCTCTCTCTACAATTTCATCAGTCGTACACCAAATGAGGACGAAGAATATCATAAATCTTCCGATCTACCACCGTCGCTCTAGCAAATTGCTATTCTTGTGATCAATTTCGTAGCTGTACCTCTTCATTCTCTAGTGGTTTCTATTATCCAGGTAAATAATTCCAATAATTTCTAGAACTCAATTTGATTTTTAGGCAGTTCTTTATTTATTGCTCTGATTTGGCATATCAGATTTGATCTCTCTATATTTAATTATATATATTCTGTGTACAAATATGTATAGCATGTATATACGAGTGTGTTATGTGTCCATATGTTTGTATATGTAAAGGCGTGGGTGTGTTCTTAATTTAGGTTTGTTGAGAGGAAATTTAGCAAAAATTGCAGTAATTGTGCAGTTGAGCTTATTCAGTTCTAGAAATCGACAGCTCTGTTTGGTTCTGGATAAATTAGGGTTTAAGAATATATATATATATTCTTTATTTTCTTCTGTTAATGCAGGTCTTACAGATATCAAAAATATATTTTCCATGCAAGTAGTGATGCAATTTTTTTTTTTCCTTCTGAATGTGAAGCATTCTATCTTTCATTGTTATAATTTTCTATTTTTCCATGTTGTGCTTGTTTGCTCAGAAAATGTAGGAAAAGGAACTCCAAAGTTTGCAGTCTCAGAGCCACAATTGTGCTGGAAGCAACGATTTGCCACTGGATAGAGGTGAATTTTTCACCTTGTAAAAATTTGACATTCAAATTCTTTTCAGTTTTTCTATCAACCAAACAAACACTTGAGATTCAGATTCTTCTCCTCAGTTTTCTATCAACAATTTTCATTTGTTGAATAAATTATAATCGTCAATTGCATTCATTATTGAAACAGTGAATTTCGAGATTAAGAATGACATCCATCGCATCGACATGCAACTGCCTCTCAAGTGCACTCATGTTGTCTTGGCATCTGCTACGCCACTAAACGCATCAATTCCTCATATTTGAAGGTAAATAACAAAACTCAAGCACAGTTGGTGAGTCGAATTGACTGAAGAATCATTTATATTTGATAAAGAAAACCTGTTTCAAGGAAATTTTGCTACCAATATTATACTAGCATGGAATTTTGTTTCCTTCAGTAATTCATAAGCCAAAAAGAGATGGAAGGTGATAGCTAGGCTCTGTTTGTTTCATAGGAAAATATGGCAGAATAATTCCCCTTTATGACTATGACATTAAAATATCAACTAGGCACTGTTTACAAAGCGAATTTGTAATAACAAGTACTATGCTTGGTGTTTTTGAGTCAAATTTACACAAAGAAAAAAACAAAAAAAAACCCGAAGACAGACAAAAATAGCGAATTCCTTACCGGGAAAAAAAAAAAGAAGCAGCAAATAACCTATACGTTTCACGAGTCAGTGATGATACTTCTTGCTTCTGCTGGCTTTCTGATGTCTGTGAAGATAAAAATAGTTGACAGTTCTGTGCTCAGTTTCTATTAGCAACCTAGGATTGATTTTATTCCTATATGCTGCCAATGAACCAGCTGGGAAAGAGCAGAGAGAAGATAAAATTTTTAGCTCCTTGTTGCTGCTATAACTCACTAATCTCACCCTTTCGACAATTTCCCACCCAAATAGACATAGTTGTCTTCTTACGTGATGGCAACACTCTGCAACAATCCCTCCTTGGTGACTGCAGCAGAAAATTAAGATTAGTACCAACACCAAGACATAAAAATTCAGCAACAATGATCAGATGAGAAAAGACAAAAGTGTTAAAAAAATGTTTATACTTAATTCAATCTAAAAGGAGACTCGGCTAATGCTGTTTTGTGTTTAATCCTAGTAACACTTGGCGTAGGCATAGTGAGTGGTTTGAGAATTTGTAACAAATCTAACTTGTTTCTTTTCCGTTGGCGCTGACAGGTGATCTGTGATCATACCTTGTGTAATTTTTTTTTTCAATTTTCTCGTCTTTAACCAGAGCAACACGGGGGGTTATACGAGTGTTTTCCCCCTCTTTTGGCCCCCAATTGCATGACTTTAAATCTGTGTAGGTTTTCATAAACTCGCGGGTTTTGATAAAAGAGGACCTTTGGGGGTTTCCAAAAGGAAGGAAAGCAAGAGACATAAATGTTGTTATTTTGTTACGCTTTGATGTGCTTACATAAAATTTTGTTCAAAGCAAGCACATTAACTGGAGAAAAGCATTAGGAAACATATTCAACATTAACAAAGAAAGAATGGTGTGTTTTTCAAATGGCAAACCTTTTGCCAACGCAGAGGATCCGGTGCTTTCATGATCACAATGGACTCGATATCTTCAGGTGAAGCCATTTTCCACCGGCAATAAGGATAGAAGATATCTTTGTGACGAGTGTAAACTCCGATGATTTGATTCTTACGCTGAATACTTGAGGTAATGTAAAAAATATAAGGCTTCTGGCATATGTGCCTGGTCACAGGCCTGGTGTTGAATGCATATGCTGTGTAATCAGCTCTAGGATACCAGTTAAGAAAGGTTCGAACCGGCATCTCTAGTTCTCTAGGAGACATGATCCCCCTTAACACTTGAACAACGAAGCCCCAAGAGATGGAAATGGACCACTGCCTTCTCTTGTCATAGCAGATGGATTGCTGCATTACACTGGCAGAGTCGAGCTTGACGGACTCAAACAGTTGTTGGACTGCCCGAAACTTGTCCATTGATGGGATTATCGGCTGCACTACATCGAGGTGGTGAAGTGTCAGCATTGGAGCCACAGGATGGGCTCCCAAAAGGCCTAAGAGACTCCCATACACATCATACTGCACAAAAGCAAGACACCAACCCAAATCAAGAATTGAAGTCCTATTCAAATTCAGGTTTGCATATCCACCTAGCTACTTGGACTAAATTAATATGACAAATATGATTCCCATGATGCTTTTAACTATCGTATGATTTAATGCGATAGTTATTGTCATAGTTATAATGATAGATGTGATATTAGTAATGTGATGACGAAGATGAATTCACTGAATTCTTTAGGCATATATATATATATATATACCAATTAAGCAAAATCATAGTGTTGTTGCTTATCTTAGGCTTACCTGATGAAATCCAGGTTCTCTGGTTAGAGGCACCCCTAGCTCTGCCATGCAAGCTTGAATCCTATCATCACTTCCATACAACCCCGGATACCTTTGAATGCACCGATCCTGTATCTTCTCCAATTCCACCGCCAACGGATAGCTTATTGCAAATCCACCTCCGCCATAGGCCATGGCGTAGGAAAAATATATATTCTGAAGATGACTTTCCGAATTGCTCCCAACGTAGTAGAACTGCCTGTGATCGTACTTTGAAAGTACTCTCACCACATTATCAACTACAAAAACAGTGTCATCGTCACCCATCACAAACCACCTTACATCCTTCATCCCAAGCCTCAAGGTCTCCGAGACCACCCTGGAAATCCTCAATGCCGATCTTGTCCCCTGACGATGCGAGTACCTGAACTTCTTAGTGTCCCCAGAAATCCGAATTTCGGGCAATTTTTCCCTTTTTCTAGTCCTGACTCGCTTATCCATCCAAACAACTCCTCTAGTCTCCCCAGGTCTCCACCATATCTTGATATACTCCTTCCTCTCCTCCCACAGATGTGATGAACCAGCGATGCCAAAAACAATGTGTTTAAGCTGGGTATCAAAACGTTGGGACACCACAAGAGGTTGTATTTCTTGCTTATTTTGGAGTTTGAGAGAAGAAGAGTTGGTGAGAGTAGTAGTGAGGTTTGTGGGGAGATTGATTTGTTGGGTGTGGGAAGTTTGGGAACACTGGGATTGGCCATTGTTGATGAGTATGAGCTTCGAAGAGTAGAAGATGTAGATGATCAAGATGAGGATGAAGAGCCAAGTAATGCAGTTGCGAGGGCTGTAGAGGCCGGCGGCGTAAGGGCGTTGTTGATTGGTCATCATCATCATCATCATCTGTTCCAAAGCAATTAGTCTGTTTTCAGAATCTTCTCCTGATTTGTTGCTGCTTACCATGGTTTCAGCTCAATGTGCAGAGGAGGAGGAAGCGAGTGATGGACAGAGAGTTTGGACTGAGACATGTTCGGATCCAGAGAGAGATTTGGAGTTTGTTAGGAAGTGAACGAAGCTAAATGCGGTTATACCTCTCTTGCATGGAAAAGGGTTAATTTGTTCAAAAACTTAGTCTTTGACCAACCTAATAACAACAATATTATTGTAAATAACACGTGGTTTTATCCTATTAAGAAATGTTCTTTGTTGTCGGTAAGAAGACAAGTACTTATTCTATAAATTGGGAAAATGTACTGTAACTATAAATGGGTCTCCTATTTTTCAGTTCCTAACCATCTACAAATATGAACATAGACACGTGGTAATTGACAAAGGATTCTATAACGATTCAAGAATCAAAACTTCTATTTTTTTTTTATTTTTTTTTATTTTTAGATTTTTGTATTAAACATATTTTACATCCTCACCCACCCACCCACTCACTTTGCTTATAAATTTTGAACTCTTGATCAAATTATCTTATTTAATGAGCTATTTGTCATTTCTGATTACCATCTTATACGACTTTAGATTTTTTATTTTTTTAATAATAAGATTTTTTAATACAAATAATATGATGGTGTAACATATTGTCATGGATTACTGTCCCACATTGAATCTGGACAGGGAGAGTCTTGGATATATTAGACTAGGTGTTTGTAAGAGAATGAATGATGGCATTGGCCTCTGGCAAGTAGAAATTCTTTCAAGCCTCGTCGCTATTCTTGGAGCATTAAAGGATTTTTTTTTTTTTTTTTAGTAAAGTTTTTTTTTCCTAAATGGAGGAAATTTTTTATAAATATAAACAAATAAACAATATGTTACAGAAAATCATAGAGGCATACCCCTATTACAATAATCAGCCCCTTAGGGAAAAGAAAACACAAAAGATCTTACATGAAGAGCAAAAAACAAACTAGTTAAACATTAAAATTGTATCTTGTAAGCTGATGCCTAAGATATCAAGAATCTCCCAAATTATGCATTTAGCTCCTTTGGATTACAACATTTATCATTATGTAGCCTTTCATTTCTCTCCTTCCAAATAAAGTATAATGTAGCTGTGAATGCCAATTTGCATAGCTTATTTCTGACATTATTCACTTTGAACAATTGGACAAACTCTGCAGCCAACCAATGTAATGTTTGAAAATTCTGTAACTGCCATTGGCACAAAGCAGCTAACTCCATCCACACCTGCCAAGTAAAAACAGAGCAGCAAAATAAATGGTCCACATCCTCCTTTTCCTTGTAACACAACCATCATCTAGATGCTAAACTCACGCCCCTCTTTTGCAAATAATCACTTGTCAAAATACAATTCTGTAAAACCAGTACAGCATGAGAGGACCATCGAGGTCTTCCTCCATTCCAACACAAACCAGCCCAAAACACCTCAGTTCTTCTTGTTCTACAAGCATTCCAGGCACTCTTGAATGTAAACTCCTTTGGATGCCACACCAATTTGTCCCCCCCCCCCCCCCCAATTGGGAACTGCAAAACTGATAAAGTTCCCAATTTTTTTTTACATAACTCCTGATAAAGTTTTTCTCTTTGGGAAGGTTTTTTCTCTTTGGGAAGGTAGCTATTGACACTTGTACATACATTCAAACCGAGATATCCAGATTACATGTAAAAAGAGTAAATCTGACATAGAATCGTCTCAATTTCCACAAGAAATTGTTATCAACTCAAATTTCAGATGCCATTACTTTACTTTTGTGGTACATTCTGCTAATCAGATGATTCTCCAGAGGAATAATCTGTTTAGCAGGGCCAAAAACCAACAATCTTAATACAACACCAAAGATGTACGTATTGCTTATATATTTAGCTACATACCTACTATCGTGGTCCAAGAATAGTACTAACAACTACAAGCAATCAACTGCTACTAAACAACAGCACTATGATAGTGAAATTTATTTAAAAAACTGGATATTTAGCACATCACAGAGCACCATGAGATATAAACTTCAGGCTGCATATCCGAGACGACCACGAGCTAGATCTTCAGTTTCCCTGAGGAAGAATGCAAGGGGCAAAAATTAGCTGCAAATCAAGTAGTGCGGTTTTCACAGTTAACTATAAGTGTGATTTCATATTTACAAAGACACAGGGTTACCAAGAAGATCTTCTTCATCATGGCAACAAGCTCTTGGACATCCAGTTTGGTATTTTTGTAAGCCTCGATTTTGTCCATTTCCTGTACAAGGTGGTCCATGTATGAAAATCAAAACTACAATCCTTCCAATCAGTAAAGACAACCAATGGAGTTGATCAGAGTCATGTTATCATTATGATACCCAGGAATTTTCACGAGTGCCACAAAATGTTTACACATTTTCCAAATTGATGAAAGGGTTCAGCACAAAATATAGAATGAAGTGATAAAACTTGGTTTCAAAGGACATGACTTGAGTTTACTATGAATTGCACAGCTTTTGAATTGAGTCCATTTTCCTTGATAAGACATCACTTTTAGGACTTCCAAAAAATAACAACATTTGTACTGTTATTTTTAGTCACTGCTTCATTCTATGTAATGAATTTCAATTCCATATGCAAACAAAATAAAGTGAAACACAATGTTTCATTTTGTTCCCCATTTGCTTCTAAAACCATCTAGTCAAGTAATGGCAAGGCATGCCTATATTTAACAACAGAATTCACACTTTAAGGGCTGAGTTTAACCCATTAATTTGCATGAACAAACAACGCCCTCCATTAGTCTTGAGATTCAGACACTACATATTGTCCATTGCCTGCTTTACATAATTAAAAAAAAAAAAAAAAAAACAAAAAAAAGCAAACCCAGAAATCTTGATGACATGACGGGATAATAGCTAAATAAATGAATGCCTAAATTTCAATCAGCTCGTCACATTACCCTGTTCTGTTTTAGAAACCCATACATCATGCATCGTCAAGGTCCAACTAATTTTCTCCCAACAACTTGTGTATGGCATTCTAAATCATCCCTTACCAACAATCCTAGTTTTCAACCCGAGGCAGGAGAGAAAGAGATCGAAAGATAGTAAAAATACATTGATGTCGTATCGGTATCAACCTGGTTGAGAGTCATTGTTCTGGGAACAGCTGAAGCCCCCCTCCAAATCAGAACTCTTGAAGGGAAACACCCTGTCGCTCCCCCAGCTGAATGAGCTGGTCGAAAAGGTTCGAATGGCCGAGAAGCAACTATACAAAACTACTAAGTGACCGCAACTACCAATAGACTCTCCCAATTGACGGACAGTACCCCTCATCGAAATTGAACTCGCAACTAACATTATTCATTGACTACCCTTATTCCCCCTTCATCCGGAGCTGCCGTAACTTGGGCTCATCATGCTATACTCGCGGGGAAGGAAAAACAAGCAGTTTATGCTTTAGTAGCTACCGTTTCACTGGCTCTAGTATTCACTGGCTTTCAAGGAATGGAATATTATCAAGCACCCTCCACTATTTCGGATGGTATTTATGGTTCTACCTTTTCCTTAGCAACTGGCCTTCATGGTTTTCATGTGATTATAGGTAAACTTTTCTCGATTGTATGTGGTATTTGCCAATATCTTGGTCATCTGACCAAGGAGCATCACGTTGGACCCTGATCCTTTATAGAATTTAATAAAAATAAATAAAAGCTGCCGAAGTATTTTGTGCAGATGATTGGACCATCTTAACTCAACCCTTTCTCTAATAATTTCATATTGAATCGAATTCCATGATAATAGTAAGACTGGTATCTCTCTATCCATCTATATGTGCGCGCTTGTGCATGTGTAATACTAAACATTTAGCATATCAATTTGTAATAGGTTTAGCAGGCACTGCTACTTATGCTATTTGGTTCTATTCACAGATACAAAATCTAAATCCATTACTACGAATCCTTCCCAACAGTTGCAAGTCTACAGTAGATGAATAAGAAGAACCGACTTTAAGAGTTTTGGAACTAAACCTTCTCCTGTAGGTGAGAAAACACTTCTAACAACCCGCAATGCAAGTAAAGAAAGAAAATACTGGAACAGGAAAAAATACATATAAAATGTGAGAGGTAATCTACCTCAATCCATGATAGCAGCTTAGGCCTTCCTGTTGTGATGTCATATATTTTTACATCTAGCAGTAAGGGATGAAATCTTTCAATGAATGGAGCATATGCTATGTCGACCTGAAAACATGAATTTTATCATACAAGTTAGAGTTAACAAAGAATTGAATAGCAAAGTACATTTTTAAGGATAGTATTAACATTTGCCAGTACTTCAAAAAACATGGATGAACAGTATGTTCAGCACGTAGATATGTATAATTTGATAAACTTTAGATTCTGACTCCACCATGGGGTAGCCACTATGCAAAGTTAAGTAGCTAGCTCAATAATCTGCTACTCGTGGAACTGCACAGTGCCCCGGTCAAAATCCCTGTCACAGTCAATTTCTTCTACCAATGAGATAGTAAATCGAGATGTGATAGAATGTAATTCAACCCATTTTATGACCTCATAGAGTAGAATGGTGAGCAAGATCTTTTTAACCGACTCCATGTGGCTAAAATGAAGGGTGTTGAGTTAAAAAAAAAATCAAAAAAATTACTCATGTTCACGGGAAACTAATCAAATCTAATGAATGCAAATGATATAAACTTTCTCTCACCACAGTTCCATTAATTGGCAAAGGGAACTAAAAAATCTAATAAATGCAAATGATAGAAAATTTCTGTCGCCACAGTTCCATTAATTGGCGAAAAATATGCAAACGGTTTAATACATGCCCAGCTCATGAATTTGAAAAATTGAAGAAATCAACATAATTATTACCTCTTTCACAATTTAATTGTACATTTCGTAATTCAAACATTTAAGGAAGTATGAGAAACAAATACTGATAGATAAAGAGGGAAACAAAAAGCATGTCAACCTTAAGAGAAATTCTAATCCAACACCTAATATATACATGCACATATATGTCTACATGTGAACATTAGCAAGGGATAAATAAAAATTCAGTTTCTTCATTTTCAAGTCCATCAAACCAGCTTCAATTGCAATAATTGTAATCTATACTCTTGTAATCCTCATTGATTTATCATAATCCATAATTACTCTTGCAGTCCTCCATTGATGTATTATAATCCATATATACTAGGTTATCCATCAAAGAAGATCAAAATCAAGAGAATTATGATCCTTTTATGCATGAATCAATGATCAGCATCAGATGAGAAAAAAAAGAAAAAAAATATTTTATGTTGTTAAGAGATGATGCACAACCCTAAATTTGTGCGGTTAGCCTTTGCTCCTTCTGGAAGAATGAATCAAGTTCCACTATCAATAGCCGGCTGAGATAAGTCCCCTCCAGAGAGGGGGAAGTTGTATAGCATGGACTGTCATGGAGAAGCTGGGATAGCATTTGGAGGAAAAAAAAGAGTTTTTTTGGAAGTCATATATGACATCTTTTATTTTTGAAAGTTTATTCGAGTGTAAAGCACTCTTAATGTAAATCATGAACAGTCATTTGTCATTTTAGTATAGATACGGATTAATATTATTTAAAGAAATAAAAGAACAGATGCCAAGCCAACTAAGCATTTTAGAGAATGGTATTACTTACTAAACTGAAATGGCCAAGGAAGAAAGGTCCATCGTTGAATTTTAAGAGAGCTGTTTCAATGTAATCACAAGCAGCACCTACCACAGCAGGTTATTAAAGCATGTCAGTCATAAATCGTATAAATATAAGGACCCCCTTAGAATATATTACATCAGAACATAGCATGTCTTGAGCCTTACTGATTTCATTAAGTGAATCTCCTTTAAGGGAAGTGATCACAGCTCTATTGAAGGTGTTGGTGTAGGATAACAATTCCTCTGCAAACTCTCTCTTGGTAGGCTCCTGCCGACTTTCAAAATGCTTTAGATTTCAAAATTTTAACTTCAGAAGGTTGACTTTACATCAAGAGTGAACAATCTCCTTCTTACATTGGGATAAAGTGCAGGTCCTTCAAAGTGGCTATCAATATATTTCATCAAGTCAAGACTCTCTCCTCTGACTTCATTATTGTGCTCCAATGCAGGCACCTATATTTTAAAGAATAACATTAGAAGTTAGAAGGGAAATAGGACTTCTCAAAAAGCTATACTAATGCATTTTTCTCAAAAGACAGATAAGTGTTTGGAGAATGTAGAGAAGACGAATAGAAATTACAAAACAACCAAAACAGTCGGAATTACGCAATAAAGGACAAGGGTATCATAAAGAGTATCTAGGGAAAATCATGTTGAAGGTTTATTCAATCACATCCAAATATTCACTTAAAATAGTATACTTTTTTGACATGTTGGGAGGTGCCAGAGGGTTCTTCATCCACTACCATATCAGAGAAAACCACATCAATTGGGATTATGTAGCATACTTAAGGGGTACAATGTAATAGTTTGATTTATTTTATTCGCGAAGGTTTCGGTGAAAAAAAAATAAAATCTAATACACAATATGCATGCCAAATTCCAATATAATAGTTTAAGTTTTTTTTGGCTGCTGGAGTTCCTTTGTCTTCTCTAGAATGTAGATTATATAGTTGGAAAATGATTTATCTTAAAAAATGAAGTGCACGGGCTTTTAAGAAGAAAACAATAAACTCATGACTCATAATATGAGGTTGTCAGAAGAAATACTCTTTCATTACCACGGGACCTTGGCCTGGGTGATATGATCTCCATCTCCCTAAAGGGGAGCTCGAGATAAAATAAAATAAATAAACCATTTTAACAATTCAACCACCTTAGTATTTTTCCCAGCACCTTATGCTTCTAACTTGGAAGTATAGCAAGACAATTTTATGGCATAAATGTTAAAAGATAGCCCTACATAATCTCAATATAGAATATTTGTTTAAATCACTGTGCAAAAGCATATGGTGACACCAATCTTGTTCAAATCACATTTTTGATAGAACCGTGACAGCCTTCCTGTCAAATTCTATATTAGAATACTCGGACAAAAATAGCATGTTTGGCCCTAACATAATTGTGGAGAGCTCTTTATCCAAGCACATGTATGTTTTCAAAATCAACAGGAAACTATCTTATAGCATTATAAGAGCCAATTCCACTTGCCAGGAGATTTTAAATACTTCTGAAAAAGCAAGGTTATTTTGAACTTCTAAAAAGTACACGAACAATGTAAGTGTTCTTAATGCTTCAGGTTCTCAACCTTCCGGAAAAAAAATGCTTCAGGTTCTCATTTGATGTCTATGGATTTGTCAGTCATCCACCAAAGTGCTTTCCAGCAGCACATTTCTCAAATGGTTAATATGGTTTATAGAAATGTTACCTTATTTTCTGGGTAGACTTTTTCCTTGTACCAAGCAGGTCTATTCCCAAGATCAAGAGGAACTAACTTGATCTTGTCCTGCAGACCCTGCACATTAGAAAGAAAAATAATCATATAGAAATTCCAAACACCTCCATACATATTAGAACACTCGAAAAAATGTCATTTTAGGAAGAGTACATACTACTAACAGATTGAAAATTATAATAACTCAGATTCATCCATGAACACAAGCAAATTAGAAAACTTGAAGACAAATGTTGTAAAATTGAAGCTTACCTTGCAGTTCCGAATTATCCAAACCCGCTGCGCATATGGACATACGTAAGAGGTGTATAACCTTGAAACAGAGAAATAAACAATTTGGTGGTCAGATGAACAATGCTAACGCAAATATAGGTTAACAATTGAAATGGCATCAGAGTGGGTATGGGACAGAGGACTAGCTCCCCAACCCGCCGTCCCTTCCCACCCTGCCTGACCTTTTTTTTTTTTAAAGGATGTTCTTTTAGTCTTATTTGATATATTGTGATGGTATGTAACACATTTGATAAATAATTAAAAAAGAAAATTAAAATAACAGTATTATGGATTTAAAATTATATGCAAGTATTTGATAGATTTTAGTAAGAAAATTTAAAATAAGCATGGCACAAGGAGATGGGGCTAATTGCCATCACTGTATGGGTGTTCAAACTGAAATGCTGCCAAGTTTATATTTTATTCTCACCAATATGAAAATCACATATCGATTTAAAATTGCATCATTCAATTATTATTATTATTATTATTATTTTTTCTTTCTAACATTAGAATTGGTCACTGAAGAACCAAAGGCATCACAACAAATAATATTAAAAAAATAAAAGCCCAAATATTAAAAAAATAACATTAACACTAGTTCTAATGGCTCTGTATGCTTGGGGCATTGCCATTAATAGACCCACTTTAAACATTACGCGAAACACAAATAAACATGTTCGAATTTCTCTTTTCTTCAACATTCAAATAACCCCTCTATATACCCAATAAAGTAGAATTATAAACAAGCGTTCAATTCACTAGACGAACCCATATAACAATTGAAAAACAAAGCAAGAGTGCGAAATGAATTAAGTTGAGCAAAACCTGGTGGTCCCATCAAAGAGAGAAGGTGGGTCAGATGTAGAATCAAGAACAGGGGGAAGAAACTCTTTAGCACCCCTGCAGAAACATATACAAACCATTACCAAGATGATATATGTATATATATATATGCACACACACTAGTGCAAAATTCATTACGTTGTAGCGATGGATAATGGTATTGAAGCTCTGGTTTTCCTGGTAGAGAGACGATAAGAAGGCCTGTGCAGACCGAGTGTTTGAAATGGAATAGACTTGTTTAGGCATTGAAGAGCAATCCTAGGGTTCGAATTTGAGAGAAGATTGTGCGTACAAGCGAAGGTTGTCACTGAAGCACTCATTTTGATTTCTTTTTCAGCCAAGTGAGACCGAGCAACACAGACTGAAAAAATAATTAAAAGAATAAATAAAAATAATAATAAAGATGGAGACGAAGATACGGGCTAAGGCCCAGTGGGCTTGGGGCACGTTTAGTGATTAATACTATAGGCTCTGTTTTATTAGAAAGAAAATGATATTAGAATAATTTATATTTATATGTATACCTATATCTATTTGAATCAGCTAGCACAACAATATTTGAGTCTTTTGATTGCTGGTAAGGAATAATTTACACATCCATAATGTTGTTTTTGTTTTGAATTGTGAATTTGTGTCAGTTCAAAACAAAAATAACAAAAAAATAAAAATAAAAAGGAGCAAAAACCATTACCACAGTGCATTAGGCCGGGGTTACTTGTTGCTATGTTCCTACAATTATTTTAAAAGTGGTTTAAAACTGATATTTCAATCTAAACTTTAAAATGGTCGCTCATTTATAAGTTGAATGCAATTTTCAACCTATTTACTAAATTAAATAACGGATTTGAATACTTTAATTTTTTTCTCTCTAATGTCTATAACAAGTTTTCCCTCCCATGATCACAATCACCTAATATCATTATTGGTGTAATTACAAATCATGAATGATAATAAGGTGTTTTAAATCTATATTAAATAGTTATACATTAACGTTTATTTCAACATATTATATATATATATATATATATATATCACACAAACACACCATGAATGATACTGAATTGCTGGTTGGAAGAGAGATAATAAGAGGGGCTGTGGAGACCAAATATTTGAAATGACTCATAATTATTTTGAGAGTCGAGTTTGAGAGAAAATTGTGCACATGCGAAGGTTAAGGTTGTCACTGAAACACTCATTTTCATGCCAAGTATCTTTTTATGCGAGAATTTTTTTTTTTTTTTTTTTACCCAAATTTTTTTTTTTAAAAGAAATGTAACACACACTTGTGACTTGAGGGTTGAGGCTAAGGCCCAGTGGACTTGGGGCACGTTTGGAGATTAATATGTAACTCAGATAAAACTCTGTTTGGTTAGGGAAAAAAATGATCTTAAAATATTAAAAGAAAAAGAAAGTGAAGCACATGAAAGAGAAATTTATATTAGTTTTTGCACGGAGTTAGTTAGGAATTAAGATGAACAAAATTACAAGTAAATTGTAGGGAATTATTATTTTATAAATTGAAGAACACCAATTTACTAGAAAATACACTTTCTTATGTTTTTTGCATTAAAAAAATATATATATTACATTGTTAGTGGAATCTAGCTTTTTTAAAAAATTCAGAGCTATTGAAAATTTGAAAGTTGCTTGAAACTCATTTAAAAGTACTTGTGTTCTTACAAAATGATTTAAACAACATTTTTATTATAAAAAATGATAAATTAGTAATACTATCTCACTAAAGGAAAGTCATTCAAGTCTTTATAAGTAGTGTTAACGAGCGTGTGAGTTTGAAAGAATATATATATATATATATATATATATATATAATCAAAGGGGATAGGCTATAGAGTCATTGTTGTCCCTCGTTTAT